AAAGGGGGGGGGGGGGGGGGGGTAGCACCTGGCAAAGCCTTCGATACACACCAAAGGGTTATTTGTGTGAGAAAATGTCTTGTCTAGGGCCATGCCATGGCTGATACATCAGTCAGACGGGGTTAATACTTGGCAGCTTGTACCCAAGGCGTGGGTGTGGCCATGCCTCGGCGTCGAACCCCATCGAATGAGGTGACACTATTGCGCTAGTTTGTACGAGGAAGTGCTCTTTGGTCTGCAACATGTCCGTCTGGATGCTGGGCTTCGGTCAAAGACTTCGAGTCTGACTATGAAAGTACGCACAATGGATCACCGGCTTCCACGTGTTTTAAGACGACACAAAACGCTCATACATATTCATTCATGAAACGACCGTAGCAATACCTCGGTCCAACAGAGACATTTTTTCCGCTCTTGATGGAGAACTTTAAACATCGCGTTGTCCTTACGTCGAGCACCCCAAATCCGTACCTGCTGCTGGAAGTCACTCATCATTTGGTTTGCAAACCAAAATCGAATTGTGCCAAGGGCAGGTGTCTTAGTCAACAAAGGGAGGGCAGGAGCAGCAAAACATCGCGATTGTATGGATGGGTGGTGTTTGCGTGATACATAGTTCGCTTACAGAAGTAAGTAAAACAGTGAAGCCACCGCCATTTCAAGGGTTGCACTGCTTCAATGGGATACACAGGAAGTCCTGCCCACAATAAGTTGTGACCCCGAAGAAACATTGAGTTCTCCATCGAAAACACGCGGCAAAACAAAATCGCAACCGTTCGACTACCAGGACCGATTATTTCATACACCCGAAGTGGTGGGAAGTATCCAAGAACTGCTGCTTCACTGATAATGTTCGCGCCGTACTGTGTACAATACTTGTAGTAATGTTCGTCTCTGCCCAACAAGTTCTGTCATATCTACATGTACCACCTCTTTGTGATGCAGTATACCACCCCCCCTGCGGAGTTTTCAATAGTTTTGGGCGACGCCCAATTTCGTTACAACGACAGCATCGCCAGGTTTCCACAGAGGCCTAGACAATTTTCTACGCTCTGCTTCTAAAATCTAAAATCGGGGCCTCCTGCATTGTTATGAAAACAGAAAACGGGCTCGAAATCGCTCCCAATGACGGGGTGCTATACTGCGTCACATGTGTCTCAGACAGTTGACGGGTTGAAGTCACCTCACTTTCCACAATGTCAATAAGACGTACGTATATTTTCTTGATCTTGATAAAAACCTGGAGGCGATCAACCATAGCAGATACCTGAGGAGCTCTTGCCGAAGTTCATGTCGTGGCAACGCCTGCAACGCCTCCATGGAGCAGGGAAGAGAGAGTGGCTGCTGGTCAGTGCTGAACGACAGCGAGTAGCGACCCCCAGTACTTGGGGGGGATGGTCAACAATCCACGGGGCTCCTGAGCTGGGCCGGGCCTGGCTCGGTACACACAGCAGCATCGACCCACCAGCAGTACACAGCACGAGCAAACAAAGCAGAGGGGCGAAACAAGGACGAAGCAAGACGTTTCTCGCATGGTCACGATCTTGTAGTGATTCGCTAACCATCACCACGAGAAGCAGGACGAGAACCGTGGGAGAGCAAAAAAACATTTAATACCCAAACAGCCAGTTTCCAGCTTCTGCAGCAGGCCTGCTACATACTACAGCACGACAGCAAGCCACCCGTTCTTTACTGCTGTGGTAGAACCCCCGACGAGGGCCATGGCTTCTTCCACTCCCACGGTAGCCCGATCCATTGCCGAGGTGACTCGGGAGTCGATTCGGGTGGAGAAGCTGCGAGGAAGGGTGCAGACGGTATTTCCGATACACGCATGCATGACGCCAACGGCGAACAACAGCGAGACGCAGGACTACGGGACTGTGGGCAGCGACGGTCCGATCGAGGGGGCTACGAAAGTGAGCGATTAGGAAACACGGGGCTGTGTCCGTGTCACCATTCAAGACGTTTCGTCTCTCACGAACAAGGGGTTCGTTTGGCATTTTCTTAGGAGATAGCCCGTGTTTCTGACCCTCCCTGTTGCCTGTTGCCTGTTGCCCCTGGGGCTCTTCGCCCGTTTCTTAATTCGTCTCACTTGTCAACCATTGTTGCGAAGCGTCGATGGCAATGGGTAGTCTAACCCCAACAACCGCACAGCCGTGGCTTGTGATCTCCAGAGAAGCTCCGATCCAGGGTCACACTGCAGAATTCTTCTACGATCCATCCTTGATTTTTTAACGCATGTACAACGGGTATCAGTGTTTTTCGGAACGGAGGAGGGGGGGGGATGTCCGGCGGTACTTGATGCTCACTATTTACATAGCTTGGCTCGCCGGACGTACTGTTGTAGCATTTGTAGCAGGAGCTACTGCTGTATTTTCAGCAGTATATCAGCTGATGGTGGGGTCTCGGCGGTCAGAACGAATGTTCACCCTTCTTGTTTGGGTTTGGCCCATTGTTGGTACAGCAGTGGGGAAACGGGGAAGGCACCGATCATCAGAGAGCCCGCGCGGATACGGCATGCACCGTTGACAACCGCTACTGCTATTTTGGGGATGCAAGCTCGACTGGTGCCCAGAGTTTAATGAAAACGTTACACGTGTCAACGTTGATATTGCTGTGCCATGGGGTCGTGTGAATGTCACGTCAGATTGTCTCGTCGGTTGGCACGCCAGGTGATATATCGGAGATCTACCTTCGGGGTGTTGCCACAGATTAGTAGGAGTCAGTGGACACGCTAAACTCGCCTACAAGTAAAGCGGGCCAGCTCGCCCCTCTCTCACGGCCTTTTATTATCTAACTAGAGGTTGGACCCGGTTTGCTCTCCACACCACACATTCCATTAGAAACTTGGGACGCAACTCAAACTTGGATACAACCGTCTCGTGTTGGCATCAGCGACAGTACTTTGGGCGGCCCAGACTTGTCTTGCGACGAGTGTCGACATCCTCTCATTTTTGTGGGGGTTTTTCGCCCGCCCTCATTGAGGCCATGCCCAAGAAAGCAAAGAAAACTGTTGCCCCGAGAGTCGAGGCCGACGCCGATATACAGTTCGGTGCTGCATTGTGACCCCATGTAGTGAAGAAGGGCACCAAGCAACGACAGACGTCTTGATGGGGAGGAGTGGGTGTCCCAGTGCTACAAAGTCCATGCTGCTATGTATGCACTGAGAAATCAGATGCAACCCGAAGTGGTACGGTCTAGAGCAGACGGATGAACCCTCAAGGAACTTTTCGGAATGGCCACGGTGTCACGCCACAAGCTGGCTGTATTGAATTGGATGCGAACAGACACCGAATCAGCAATATTGTTTCGGCCGCGGGTCCCTCCAGCCACATCCGTATCGATGACATGCTGCTGGAGAAATATCGTGCCCGCACTACAACGTATCGGTGCTGGACGGGCGCCTTGTCAACGACCTCGCGGCAGCGTTCGGCCTCGATCTTGGCTCGAGACAGCGTCGCCTCGGCCAAGGTCAAGGCCGAACTCGGCTGCGGGGGCGTTGGAAAAGGTTCTGGACTGCACGCGTAGGTTGTAGTGCGGGTAACATGTTGTCCTCGGCGACATGCGTCGATACTGATAAGGTTGGCGAAACCCACAGCCGATAAAGGCGAGTCGAGGGGTATCTTCAACAAGCATTGCAAAGTCCATGCTATTGAGAAATCAGATGTAGTTTACAGCAGTATCTGCCAAAACGGTACGATCTGGAGGAGAAGGAGGAAAGATTCCAACAGGAATTTTTCGCAACGGCCACGATGTTACGCCACAAACGGCCTGTATTTATTTGGATGCAAACAGACACCGTGGCCCTTGCGAAACATTCCTCTGGATGCTCTTCCTCTTGCTGCTCTAGATCGTACCATTTGCGCATTACTGTACATCTGAGTCTCAGTAGAAGCAGGGACTTTGTGTTGCTGAGAACGTCGCCCTTCGGGACGGGGTGTCAAGCCTCCCGCGGGTGACGCAAGACGACAAGCCCGAAAAGGGTTGTGTATCTTATTGGTGGGACAATTTAGCGCTTGTATTCCGTTCGAAACATCGCGCACGTTTCTTGGAGCCAGGTCGAGCCGGCAGCTTGCCAGCATACAATTGAGCCAGATGCTGGTTCGGCGAGTTTTCTCTTGCGATTACAGATTTCCCTGAAGTTTATTCCGAAGCAACACAACGAGCGGAGGCGAGAGCGCACGCTCCCAAGAAAAACATGATCAACACTGTTGGTGCATTCACTCAGACTTAGCTCAACAGAAGTGTATCCCTGCGTCCGACACTGACTCGCCATCGTGAAAAAGTTGATCGTTGCTCGGTGCTCTTCTACAGTAGGGTCATAATACATCACCGAATCGTCATTGACGTCGGCGTCGACTCCCATGGCAAAACCTGTTTTGGCTTTCTGGGGCATGGCCTCAGTGACGACGGGCCACAACCCCCCAAAATTGAGAGGATGTCCGCACTCATCGCAAGACAAGGTTGGGCCGCACATCGCACTGTCGCTGACGCCACTAAGAGGAATGTATAGAGGTTCGCGTTGTGTCCTGTGGAAAGCGCACCAGGTTCAACTTCTCATGGACGACAGCACCAGCAGCACCAGCCGCGTCTCTCTCCTCCTCAACCTCAACCCCCAACCAGTCCCCCCTCCCTCACTACACCATCCGAATGTCACTCCTGGCACCCGATCCCCCTCCTCTCCAACCTTGTGTATTCCCCCGTCCTAAGGTGTTCCAAGTGACCCTCCGAGACCTCAGCCTTCCGGGCAACAGTGGCGCCAACGGCAATCTCCATCACCGCATCGATGCCTACTTCTACGACAAGTGGGCGGATGACCACCACTCCGGCATCGGCCCTGGCGATGACATAGAGGTGACCCATGCCTTCAAGGCCGATTTTGTGGGCGAGGATACCCAAACTTCTCGCCCCACTCTCTTACGTGTTTTTGTCCGCTGAGTGTGGCAAAAGGAAATGCTTTTGCTACTTAGGCGTCTGCGAGGCACGCTTCCATGTTCACCACGGGTGTCGTCTTTCAGCTTGCCTTGTTAGACAACGATCGCTGGTACATGGGGTATCTTGCAATGAAGCACCTGTAAAATCATACCCCGAGACACCCACACTCGTGTTGGTGTTAATATACAGGCATGGCGGTGGTGCTGATAACCCCCCTTCACACGCAAAGTGAACACCTGTTCCATCTACTGCTGACGTTGCCATCTCGCGCTGTTTACGTACCGCCTCCCCTCTGAAACCTGTCGCGGTACACCACGACTCTCGATCTCAGGTCTCCGGCCCAGCCGCCAGACTCGTTCACCCGGACCCTTCCGCGTCCGACAACGGGGACCACCCCTTTTGTCTGGTGTTTCATACCGGACGCGACGACTCCTTGCTGGCGCTGGGCGCGGTCGCGGCGGACCACCTCGCCGGCGTCGCGGGGGGCAGTGGAGGAAGAAGCGACGAAGCGGACGACGTCGTTTCTTGCAAGGTCGTCCGAAAGGCGGCGCAACCGGGGGCGGGGTCTAGGGGTGGGGCCGCGCCGACGGGGAGGGGAGGGGGAGGGGGAAGAGGTCAGTTGAGAGCGGTGGTGGCGGTCCTGTTTCTGTCGCGGTTTGAGTTGGGAGATTGTGTGGCACAGCGGTGTTATGTGGAGGTGTGGCGGTGTATTTCGTAGGTGTCGCGTTTGAACCTTGATAGCACGAGCGTGAAGGAACTGAAAGGATCCACGACCCAACGGCGCGACCCTTGCATTTTGGTAGTATGTCTCGGCCCGATTGTATTAGGCGAGAGCTTGACATTTTGAGACCTCGGCTAACAACCTGCATTCATTTGGGATTGGTGAGTTTCACGAGGGGGGATAATGGTGCCGAATTTCGGTTGAGATTATCTAGCTACGTCATGTGTGTTTTTCTCTCCTACAGCCGCGGGACGCTTCGGTGGACACGATACTATTTGTATTTTTTTTTTCTGCAAGCAGATGCCTGCATGGTAGTATCGCATCTATCGCACCCGCTCCTCCTTGTCTTTTTCTCTGCGATTGAGCCCGGCGTAAACAAGGACGTGGCCAGCCTGCTCGTTCAGCAAGAGGTGGCACACGAATTGTACGATGCCGTTGGTTGCTCCTAGTTATCTCCCACCCCCCCACACACACCGTAGCCGCACTTTAAATATCGACACGTTGCACACCTTCTGTTGGTGCCGCCGGCCCGGCCTGCCTGCTCGTCCGTGCCACCCTACTCCCGCAGCCAAGGCGTCTTACGCATACACTACTCTGGATAGCATCCGCGTGCAGGAAGAGAAGACGAACGTGTACGGCGTGGTTTGCTCCTTCACCCACCGTCACCAGTCCCGGGGAAGGGACCTGACGAACTCGGTGAGCCTGCTGGACGAGTCTTGCCCCCAGTCCGACGACGCTGTGCCGTGCAACTTCTTCAGCTCGACTCTCAAGGGGCTGCCCGCGCCGCTGATGGTCGGCGACATCGTCAGGCTCCACCGCGCCAAGGTAAAGCGAGTGAGGCGACTGCGCAACGCCTGATAATTGGTGGACGGGAGTCGTGATTGTTGTCGCCGTTGCCTCTTGGGTGGTGGTGGTGCTGCTGCAGCAGCTGTATCTGCTGTCTCAAGCATTGTTCCTTTGGCATGCATGCAGCGCCGACAATCAGGTCGTCTGAAGGGTACAACTGCCGCCGGATATGCCACTTTGATTACATTACCACGTGAATCATCGTTTCCTGCACCTGTACCTCACTGGAACGTGCTTACGCAAACGCAAGACGAAACTGACATGCTCTGCACGCGACAGGTTCAAGAGTACCGCGGGCGGCCTCAGCTCCTGGCTGCTGGAGGCGCCGCCTGGCTCGTCATCCGCAAGAAGAAGGCCATGCGGGAGACCTATCAGAAGTGCCCTATCGGCGGCATCTCTCCTGCTAGCGGCGACGGCGACGGTGGTGTCGATGACGAGGACCCTGACCCGGATGATGACTCGCCGCCTTCGGGGCCGGATGCCGGGGGCGGCGAGGCAGACGCGGTATTGCCTGCCACGGACTGGGAGGTGCAATCATCCTCGGCGAACTACACGTTGTCGCAGGTGGATCAAGACAGGTGATATGTGCGTGCCTGGCATTGTTACTGCTGTTTTGTGCATCTCTTGTTGTCTTAGCCAAAAGTGGTTTTCTCTTAAACTTTGTCGCCTCTACTCGTTATCGCTGGTATGCTGGCTTGTTCACCTTTTTGTGCTTACTGGCCCGATGAGTGTGCCGAGTTCGCGAGAGCGCGATTTGTTGTGTTTTCAGGAAGCTTCCAGCGATTGTTTGACCTGATCACTGAGTGTGTGTGCGATACCGGGTAACTTGGGACTTTTTTCACCCGGGTGAAACCATGACTATTGGCAGGTGTATCGCGCTGAGCGATTGGCTAGCGACGAAATCGCCGCATCTGTGGCTGAAATCGTCGTCGGAGGTGAAAGTCTGGGTGCAAGACATATTCCGACGACCACAGTCCGGAGATGTGATCTCAAAGCTCGAGGTGAGGACGCCAGATGTAGAAGTTGATTCACACTGGGCGAGATGCAAGTGAGTTACGCGGCTAGAAAACGTGTGGGGTGATGAAAACGCGGAAGCGGTGCGAATGGGCTCCGAGGTTGTACGGGGCAGACGTCTACGTGCAAGATGTGGTTCAGCGACATGACGGATGGTCTTCGACGGGTAGCCTAGCGGCGCCATGTCATCAACTGCTTCCCGCACGTATTTGCGTAGATCCTCGGAGTGTCGAACAATGAGTACGGGTTATGGCTGTGTGGAAGAAGGGCTTGCTAGATAGAAGTACGATTGTGTACGATGGGAGAGCCCCTGCCTTTGCTGTTGTGGAGAAGTCCTGATGCCTCGCCGCAATTGCTGCATTTTGTAGTGCATCCCTGCTGGGTTTGATCTGCATCAAAGAAGCACAGCATGACCCCACCTTACAACAACCCCCCTCTCCGCGCACCTTCGCCGCGAAACAATGCACCCAAACTAAAGGTGGACCTGGTGTGCTGCTTGACTTCCAAGCATGAGAAGGCCGAAGGCGGGGCGGGCTCCCTGTCGGAGGTCTACGTTGCCGACGGGACGGGATTTGCCTCCTCGATGCCTGGGAAAGAATGGGACGACCGGCGTGACGCCGCCCTGCTCAAGGGAGTGCGTACGGCGTTGGGAAAGCCTGGCTGGTCTCCGGGAAACCCGCGGCCTCCTCCAATCCCGGCGCACCTCAAGGTTGAGGTCACGGAAAACAAAAGAGAGGTGTGAAGTTGAGAAGTTGGCTGTAGTCGAGAGCGGAGATGCGGTGTTGGCGTGGTTTCGCGTGTGCTGTGTCTGTTATTCAGCCCCCATTTCCCGCATCTTTTAAGACAATGGAACGAGTTTTCTCCAACGGTATTGTCTTCGGATGATTTCGTTTCCAGTTTGATATGCATACAATTGTATATATTTCGCTTTTTTTTTCGTTTTTCAGCTGGTACTGCTTTAACGCTTAGTTCGCCGGCGTCCAGCAGTTCTGTGATTCCCGCCTCTTTCATGGGGCGCCCCATCGAATCGGCTTCTACTTTCTTGCCGCCTCTCACCTATCAAGATTATCTACGGTGGTTGCCCCGTCTACACCAATACACTGTTTTCTGTACTCAATCGGTCGACCTCACACGTATCTTTGTCCCGTGCCTCATCGTGAACAACGGATAAAAAACAATGCAGTGGGAAGCGTTGGCACTGTCGCCGGGCATGTGGGTCCGTTTGCGCCGGCTGACCATTGTGAAGAACAGAGCTACAGGAAACATGTCGGCCAAAATGATTGACAAGGGTTCGAGCGTCAATCCTCTGCATCCCAGCATGGTCGAGGTTCAGCACATCGCCATGTCTTACGCAACGCACTGCGCAAGCGCTAGCAGCAGCAGCAGTACCAGCGGCAGTGAAGGCCGCACGGGCAGTGGTGGTGAGACCAACACGGGTGGCAGCACCGGCAGCGGCGCCAGAAAAGCGCCATCCCCCGTGTGTCCCCCGCCGTGCTCAGCACCGGCACCAGCGACAGCGACGGCCGGGATATGCTCACGGCAAATGCCTCCGCCGCGCGGCAACGGTGCTTCCAGTGGCAACGGTGGGAGTATGGAAGCCCCAATACCTGCCAGCCTGGGAAAGGGGCTCTCGACGAACGGCGACCCCGGTGTTTCCGCCTCCAGTGCTGCCGCCTCTGGCCCTTCCTCTGGTTGCGACAACAGGGGACGAGCGACATCTTCCTCCCGGGTAACCGGTTGTGAGAGGCGTTCTCCTCCATCGTCCCTCACCGCCGCTGCCGCGGCGGGGGCGGCGCCGCGGAAGGTCCCAACTTCTTCTGCCCAACAACCAGCGCCACTGCTGAGGCGGCAACATCCCGGGCCACCGTTCAGGCCGGCGGGGAATAGAGGGAAGCGTCCCTTCTTTGATCGCGGTGGTGCAAGCAAAGATGTCCTCGGGACTAGCAATGCTCGTATGGGGGTTGGCGGCGAGGGAGCTGAAGAAGGGGGGCATATATCGGCGCGAGGAACGAAGCGGGCCCTGCCGTTGTCAGAAGATAGGACCGAGACAAGGGCGGGGGCTGAACGGAGGCCGGAGGCGCCCGAAGGCAAACGGATGTCTAACCTGGAGGTTGTCAGATCCACGGCGGCCCCGAATGTATTCGATACTCGAGCCAGAATTGTCTCCCACTGGCCCCCAAAGGTAGGCGTAGAGATGAGAGAGTGGTTTAACATGCGTTTGCGGGTGACGTCGCGCATTTTTCGGTTCAGTTCGTCGCGGCAACCTGTCGTATGGTTGTGTAAAGGTCGAGGGCCGGCGATTATTCGGAGGCTCATTGCGGCCCGGCCGAGCGGACGGTTCTGTTTTTTCGAATCGGAGGGATACAGTACACACCTTCGTCTGTAGGACTCCTGCTCATCTAGACCCTCGAGGCTACATCGGTCTTTCCAAACAACTTTGTTGTACGCAAAAAGAAACGGATAGTAATATCTACGGGATGAACTGATCGTGGATGAGAGCGAAAGAAGAGCAATTTGTTTCTCTCCCCTAACACTCCTACCACCCCCCGCTCTCAACCCGTGTCTCATTCGTTGGCGTTTTCTCTATCCGACCCCTACTCGATAGGTGGAAGATTTTGTGCGGCATGGTCCAGAGTCGGACAACTACAGACTACACTTCCTCTTCACGCTGAGACTCGAAGACGACTACGGGGTCGTCGATGCCATCGCATCGGGCCCCGACGCATCGCTCCTACTGCCAGGATCCCCGTCCCCAGCAGAGTTCTATACTAGCCTCGAGGTCCGGTCGAGGGTGGAGCGGGTCCTGACACGTCTTGAGTCTACCAGCACAGGCAAAGCTAGAGGGGGCGTGGTTGAGCTGCGCCTACGCTCTTACCTGGCGCCCCTGGTGGAAATCAGGCACAGGGGAGACAAGTGCAAGCGCTACAGCATCATCGCCCCGTCTTGTTTAGAAGACCAAGGTTGAAGGGGGGTGTTCGCTGTCACAGGGGCGAAATGCCATCGGGTTGGTTTTGTGCCTTGCGCTTACGATTGAAGGTTCTGTACTTTCGTCTTTTGGTGTGGTACATGGGCTTTTCGTGACGAAAGCAGCACGTACAAAAATTCCAAGGTTTGTTGCCATAGTTTTTCTTGTGGCGTTGAAGCCGGCTAACGTGATCCCTACGATTCCAACAGACCCTCAATATTTCTGTTCGTGGGATAATTAATCGCTTTCGAATATCTTGTCGGGTTACATAGTGGGTCGGAAGTGTCCGTTGTTCCTTATTGTAGTTTATGGTTCCCAAACAAATTGACGTTATCGCATGTCAGGCCTGGATATGTGTAAGGACAGGAAGCAGTGGTGGCCTTCCACATTCGAGTCTGTTCACCACATAGATGTATGTCATGCGCATGTGAAGGTTGCCTTGGCTTCTTCAATTTGTTCTTGTACATAGCGGCTTTCATGTGTTCCCCTTCAAGTTGAAGATTTTGCTCACGTGTAGGCACTTGGCTGAGTTGCTTGGGCCGTTGTGCAGCGTGTGTTGTTAGTTGGCCCGCTTCCCGTGACACACAAAAAATCTTAAGTTTTCAAGTCCCCTCTCTGCACGTGGACCGAGGAGAAGCTGTGCACAAGGTCCCCGAGCAAACAAATGATAGTAGTGGTTAGACCACCAAGTACGAGAGAGGTCCAGCGTTTCCTACGATATTTCTGTGCCTCTCTTGTTTCGTCGCCATTTTTGCGTCGCCAAAAAGTCAAAGCGCACCCTCCTTTCCATGAAATCTGCACTACTGCAGAACGACACATACTTCTAGGAGACATGCACACGGAGGGCTCCATCTACCAAGGCGGTTTCCAGGTGAAAGCTCCTGCCGCTCGGCGGTACCAGCCATCCCTTCTCAAAGAAAAACACCCCCTGCGCCCAGTAGAGCACTTCCGGTCCGGTAGAGAGCACTTGCGACATCTGTTCATCCAGAAAAAAATCGACCCAAAGCCCAATGCCATGACATGTCACATGGCTAACCCTCCGCCCCCCATCGTTTGGTGCCACTGCAGTGGTACGGGGATGATGTCCGAAGCAACGAATTTCAGTGCGGCCGCCGCGCAAATCGCACAGTGGCCGGGTCAGATCCATGTCTAGGACTGCCGTCGGCGGGCCAAGCAGCTGGTGCCCAAACTCCGACAATCGCAACGACTCGACTTCTCCAGGACGCCGCCTTTCGTCTCCTTCCCCGCTTCCTCCGTGATTAGCTTCATCTACACGCCGCTCGAGGCCGAGGCCGTCGTTCGCCGCAGACATGTCGACGCCTTCCACGGTCCCCACACGACACCGGCTGTTAAAGAGAAGCTCGCATGCGAAGGGGCAAGCCACCAGGCGCGCTCTAGCTGGCATCACCTTCGTCCTCGGCGAGAAGCACCCGCCGGCCTCTAGGGCCGTCCTCGCGCACCAAAACAACAACAGTGACTCCAACGACCAGGCGGCCGTCGATAGGTCCGCGAAAAAGGGCTCCCCGACCACAGCATCGAGTTTTTTCCCTGCCAAACCAAACGCGTCGTTGTCCGCGGACGTCGGCGTCAGGAGCTCGTACACGTTCAACACGCCGCCGGGGAACTGTCGAATGACCCTCCTTTGATCGTTGCCGTGGTCACCCTCGCCGATATCTATTCCGTTCGCGAGGTACACGTCCCGACACATCGCTCTGTAGGCGGTGGAGGGTTGAATCTCGAGAACTTCAAATGCACCCTCCTGGGCCGCAAGGAGCGGCAGCAGGAAGCCGTCCGAGATACAAGCGACGCACGCCGACGCGGTGCGTCTTCTTTTCTCTCCGGAGGCAACCCTGGCGATCTCAGCGTCAGAATCGACAGCACTAGCAGCGGTGCGATTCTCGTCCTGTGTTTGGGCTTTGCGAGTGCCCAGAAGAATCGCTCTGATGGCCGATCGGAACGCATCTGTTCGGTGTTGGTCGTTCAGCATCTGGATGCGGGACGGTGGACAAGTCCGATGTAAGCCGCATACACACACCGGCGGGAAGGAGCGAATACTCGTCTCTCGGGAAATGGTCTCTCTCTCCCAATCATGCTCATCTCTTCCTGCTTTCCCGCCCGGTGGTGCAAACGTGTTGTCGATTCCCCGGGAAGCCGCTGACGTTCCGAATGTTGGTACGCCTGCTCCTGCTATTACTCCATCGTGTACTGTCCTTCCTGGGCCCGCTGATCTGCGACTAGTAGCTGCCGCAACAGCTTCAAACCAGACCGTGCTGTCGTCGTGGCAAGCGATGGCGCACACGGTGTCGCCCGCTTCCACCTGAACCGGCCTGCTCAAGAGGTACACCGACTGTCGCCAGTGATCTCGATGTGGAGGCGTACAAGCTGGAGGTTCTGTTCGAAATTCCGACGATGCCTTCGGCGGCGGCAATGGGGACGTGCTCATTACAATCGTCCGGTCTTCATCCATGAAGCACTGCCACCAGCACACGATTGCGTGGACCTCGCCGTCACCACCGGAGATGGTATCGATCGGGAATTGTACTTCGCACCTGCGGCCCTCCGGTCCCGGCAGAGGGTTATCACATGACATGAGATCGAACTCGAAAATCCTCACAGAAGGGGAGAGCGGGTGGAACTGCACCATCCCATTCTCGTGCATAGATACCGGACCGGCCGCCCCAGGACATCGTTCCCACTCTTCGGAGGACGGCGCTCGGAAGCTCTCGCCGCTGCTGGTCCCAGCCGAAGGCAAAAGGCGGCTCATGCTGTGCAACTCCGAGCTCTGGCAGCAGAAAGCCCACACCTCCGCATTCGATGGGATAGAGACAAACCCGGGCGAGAGAAGACGGGCCTTGGCGTCCCGCAAGGTCGGGAGGATCCCTTCTTCTAACAGGCCTGACGTTTCGTTTGAGCGACGGTTTCGAAGTGAAGACGGTAGCGTGTTGGCAATGGATACTTCTAGGGGGTTTCACTGCTCAAACCAGCGAGCTGGAAAGGTTATCGACGGGAGGTGACTTCGACCGATGACTGCTGGTGACCGAGAGTGGCTGCTTTTTTTCTTTTTTTGCACTTAAAGGGCGAAAACGTGTTGCTGTGTTAAAGAGTGCCTACCTGATTCTTCTGCCTTGCAGTCAGCCACGAACCTGTAAGCAGTAAATAATTTTTCCCGTTAGACCTACTCGTGCTCGCTTAGAATGGACTGGCAAGCAGCTCCGAACTGCCAAAGCATTGCGAGCAGGGTGCTGTCTACAAAAAGTGGAATAGAGGGGAACCAATTCATCGACCGACCTGTTCCGAGTAGCTCCGAGATAACACGCGGTACTCGAGAAGGTAGGTCCCTGCCGATCTCCATTTCCGTCGAGCGGCCGAGAAACAGACGAACACGTTCTCCGTTCTTCTGAAAGGTCTGGGCAGCGACGTCGGCCACCTCGTTCACGCCTTCGCACGCGTAGACCTCCGTCCTGGTAGAAGTCGTTGCTGCGGCTACAAGGCTTGCTAGAAGTCCGCTCCCGGTGCCGATGTCAAGCCATCGTTCGACGGCTTCGGTATTGTCGCTGTGGGCAGATTTGGCAGCTAGCAAGCGAACAGCTTCGCTGTACGCTGCAAGCATGTTCAGGGGTGGATGAACAAGAAAACGTTAGAACACTTTTTGGTAGAACAATCTTCAGTCGTCAACCTTTTCCCCTGGCAGCTCAACTGATTCAGGCGCGTCGGTTGCGTTTTACACGCTTGCTGGTGATTCACGCAGCAAACCCTACATACGAACATCATAGCACCAGCAGTAGCAGCGGTCTACAAACACCAGACACATCTGGGCACATCATATTAATATTAATTAACTGCGATGAAGAATCGTAAATATATCCGCACCTCGATTCCGGGCATTGTCGTGAAGCATGTCGAAAGTTGACAGCTAAGCCGGGTGAAAGAACCGAAGACACAGACGAAGGACAAAACTATTTGTCATGCGAAATTGCACCGCAAAACTCAGACAGTGACGCACGCCAAGAGGATGCTGGAAAGCGAGAAAAAATGTAACCATCGAACAATCAACAAACTTTGATACACCGTGAACCCGGAGAACAGGACGCACGTGTGTGCCATCACGGCTTCTTTGATCTGTTTTACTCTACTGACATGACCCTCTACTATCATGCTGCCCTGTATCGGAGTATGTAGAACTTCGAAATTAAAAAATGAATGCACACACGGCAGAGGGATTCTTCTGAGTGATTCCGGATCGGATCTCTGCAGTTCGATCTCGAGGCGAGGCCGTTCTAGGGTAAATAGAAACTGCGAGATATGAAATTTGTTCGTACGGTGAAAGGACTATGACCGGAGTTGTGCGAGGTCTTGACGCACCTTGGCATAACCTGCCCCCCCCCCCGCAGCAGTGGCTCTTAATCCTGGGCGGAGCTAGGAGTTCGCCGATGCTTTGCGGAAGGACGCGAACGGCATGCTCGTTCGTCAAGACGCTGTTCAATACCAATACCATATAGAACAAACATGATATGTACTTCGGCGAGGCCAACCCTTTAAGCGATTAGCTAGAGGTAGGTGGTAGGGGGGTAGGGGGGTGATGGCGCAGCCGCCAGACTCGGAGCTAATGTCGCACATTGGACCGCTTGACATCCGTGGCAGCGTACGATCTTCGCAAGGCAAAAAACAATTCAAAATTAATTGTCGTTCCCCGCAAGGCACGCCGCTCAACAAGCGCGGCAGGTAGAATCAGAGGGAAAGGCGGGTACAAGGTGTGGTACTTTTGGATATGAGGCCGATCTGTATGTCTCCTCTCGGGGTACATGTATGAAGTCCGTGGGAGGGTATGAGTGGAATTATGAGAGAGAGAGAGAGAGAGAGAGAGAGAGAGAGAGAGAGAGAGAGAGAGAGAGAGAGAGACAGTTCACACGCTCTGGACATGCATAATGCATAATAAATGGTTGTTTTTCTTCATCGCCCGTTCCTGGGAAAACTGAGTACCCAGACCAACACCAACCGCTGAGGGCGGTGGCACCTCGGAGAATGGTCGATACACGTGACAAAGTTGCAAAGATGAGCACTAAAGCACGGCTAGTGTACAGTCATTGTCAAGAATTTGCCACACGTGCCGCAGAGGCGCGTATGACTTTCCCATCTTTACGGGTGCCATGCTATGAGGGCCATGCCTTGCCGAGTTGTTGCCGCCACACTGCTTTGTCTTTTGTCTCCTTCCCCCACGCCCGCACCTTGTTCACTACTCGACGCGCGCGGATCGCACTACTGCTGTACAATATGTACTACGTTTGAACCATAGACACCATTGCTACAGTAGCGGCTACGGTTTAAGGGAACATGTTTGCGAGCAAGTACGGATTGAAGAGAGCGAAATTGGCTTGTCCCGACCAAATGGGTTTCGGGTTTAAGAGAGATTTTCTCTTTATTTCTGAGATTTTCTCTTATATCGAACATCTGGAACCCACGTGGACATCACACAACACACATACACAGCCGCAGACACCATACCCTGCGCAGCGGGCAGTCGATGCACAGCTGTCCCCGACAACACGCCAGGGGCTTCAAAATTAAGTTTTTTCTGCGTGTATATATTTTATACTAAAAATGTATCGCACGACACCATGGTTTATTTTCTTAACACAGGTACCAAGAGCGTACCGCGTACTTGGGTTAAATGTTCGCCAACTAACAGAATGGGCGGTGTTTGGAGCCAGCCGAAGGTGCTGACGCCTGCACGTTACGTGACATAAATGATACACGCTCTCCTCAACCTCTTGGGTCATATTATTGGGATGAGGAGCGTCCATCTTTGACGGCATTTCGATTTTGCTACGGTTTCAGAGAATATTCTCATACATCGACATTCGTTTTAAGCGAATATTCTTTTAAACCGGTAGCAACGACGGTGTAAGAGAAAGCCGGATTTAAGAGAGGGAAATTGGCTTGTCCCGACCCGTAGCCGCTACTGTATTCATGTGGTGATACCAGGACAGATTATTCAGCACGCGGGAAACAACGCAAAGTAGGGCAACCCACTTTGTGCACTGCCGAGACGTGTATACATCAGTCCAGAAGGGAACATATCTATCCACTGAGCAGGAGGATGCATACGAGATACGAGACTCCACTGCTTTGTCTCTACAGTTAATAAGACTACACTTACTTGTCCTCATGCACGCGCTACACTCACATAGTCATCCTTCGGGCAGAACGTCGCCAAAGTCGGTGGGTTTCCGTCTTTAGAGTCGTTATTATCGTTCATTGGATAACAATGACCGGCGATCTCATCTACAATAACTACCACGGCGGTGCTTCGCACAACTACTCTGGTGGGTTGTCTGTTGTGGCTGACGGGGCTGGGGTCCTGCGGGGTTGTGCGAGTGAATTTCGACAATTAATTCAAAGAGGCGTTATTGGTTTGATCTGCGCGAATTCGTCGTTGCACTTCCTCACCCACGTCGTGTAGCGGGTGGTAAGTCGGCAGCACAGGCGCACCACAGAGCAAGACACAGAGGAGTATGGACTCCAAAAGCATCGCCCCGAGATTGAGCAAGGATAGTAAAGACGCTCAAGAAGCACGTGCCGCTTTGTCAAGCGCGAAACAAGACTTCCTTTCAAGGCGGGGTAATCCTGGGTCGGGCAGGAAACACGACAGTGCCGTCGCACCGAGAGCGTCCAAACCAACCGCCAAGGCCTCCACCCCGTTCTCAAGCACCAGCACAAGCCGGGCCGGAAAGTCTGTCTCGTCAACTTTTAACGTTTGGAGTGAGTTTTTGTCCAGCTCCGACGACGAGGAGTATGCACAATTTGCTGGTGCATCAACAGCCGGACCGCGGCCGCCTCCGACCAAGCCTCCTGCCGTGAAGGCTCCCGCTACTACAGCTCATGGCGCAACGGACAGCGACAACGAGATGTTCGATGAGTTCTTTGCAAAAGCTACATCCGCAGCTGTTGCCGCTGCCCGGTCGAAACAGCAAAGGGACACCAGCCCCGAGAGCAACATCAACGGTCGTGGTCGGCAACAGGAGAGCGGTGGCGGTAGCACCATGCACGAGAGCACGGGGAAAGGAGCCAGCAGCAGTAGCAGCCCGCGAGGCACCGCCACGAAGAGGAGAAGAGAGGAAGAAAAAGCGGCGACTATTCGGAGGAAACCCTCACCCCCTCGCCGAGCCAACCTCAGTAGCGACAGCAGCAGTAACGAAGGAGTTGCACTTGGAGGAGTGGAGCCCCGGCGTCGCACCAAAGCACCGGGTTCCAATCACGGTCCGGACGGCGGGACGTGCAATAGCAGCGACGCTCACGGCTTTTCATCTCCGCGGGCCGCCTCGCTAGGGGGGGATGCTTGTTCCGGCGTGGGTGGCAGCAGCGGCTGCAATAGGCGTAGGAGCAGCTTTGATACTGACGACAGCTTTGGTGACGGTGGTTGCGGTGACGGTGGTAGCGGTGGTGGCGGCAGCGGCAGCCGAAAACGCAAGCCGCACGGTGAAAGCAGCGGCGATGAGATGCAAGTGGGATTTGGCTTAGACAACGACGACGACTTCAATTGCGCAGCCGGGCAGCAGCGAGAGGGTGGCCAAAACGTGGTGACGGTACGGGGGGGGGAGGAGGAGGGGGAGACTGATGACGATCTTGACGACGAAGGGGAGGGTCTGAAGCCGACGATAAGGAACCCGCCCTTCGAGGACCCTGGGAAGAGACCGCTGGTGCTAACCAATGAGGCAGGCGGAGAACGGGCAGAAGTACCCGCATCGGCGAACCGGTACCTTCAGGGCTACCAGAGAGAAGGGGTACGCATATATCCTGCTCCCTGAGTGCTCTTCGTTGGCGGAACGTTTTTTGCCGAGGGTGGAGATGTGTGCAGCACTGCAATTGGTGTTGTTGATGATGGTGCCCGTTGACTGTGTTCACTTCTTGTACAAAACTTGCTGTGGACAGCAACGCTGTTGGCAACCTTTCTTTTTCAAAATCCGGAGTTAGCGTTGGATGCGTCAAGCCACGCCAGTGTACGCTAAATATCGCATACCATACAATCGCGTACGGTTTTATTGATCCCAGCTATCTGCTTCGTGCGAGGCCTTGGTAGTTTGTCCACCGTACACTCTATCTCAAACGCTCTCTTTGTCGCTTCTATACCATGTTGGTTACTCTTGGTTACCCCCGTCATGATCGAATTCTCGCTCGGTGAAGGTCGAGTTCATGTACCGGAGGGTTCGCCACACCGACGGGCCGAAGGGGGTCATTCTTGCTGACGACATGGGCCTTGGGAAGACCGTGCAGACCATCGCTCTCCTCCTTGCACTCCTCAAGAAAACAGGTGCTCGGTGCTTTCCATGTTAGTTGTTGTTGTCGCCTTTTCGTTTTCAGTGATGATGTGTTTTTGTCGTGACTGTGTTGGTGGTGGTGGTGGTGGCGGCGGGTACCGTGGTGACCTAGGGGCCTGTGTTGGCGTGCCGTTGGTCTCTTGTCTTGTTGCTGCTACAATACCGTGGTGTACATCACCTCTGCAACGTGCCCCTACGTCTGTGTCTCCCGCGTCGTCTTGGTGGCTATACGTACCATGTATCCCGCGAACCACACAGGCACGAGGCGAGACCGGATGGACATCAAGAGGCGCAAAGATTGCAAGGGGCACGTCAGCGTCGCCGGGAAGCCCGTCCTCATTGTCTGCCCGAGGTCTGTCTTGCCGAATTGGACGGGTCACCTCAAGACCTGGGGACACTTCGAGACGGCTTGCATTACCTCGGGGGGCAGCACCGCTGGACCCGAGTCCCTCCAGGCGAGTTTCAACGGAGGAGGCGTTGCGCAAATTGCCTTTCTTCGTAGTCGGCGGTTGTGGACGAACCGTCAACCACGGCGAAAAATCCTTCTGTTGTTGTGGTGGTTTTGACGGCGGGGACAGGAAGATCGCGCCCATTGTTTCACGGAATTTTTTGAGGTGGTTGTGTAGTACTGTCTCGCAAGGGGGTAGTATAATAATGTGTTTTGGGGTTCATACCATGGGGTTCATACCATCATGCACGCCAAGACTACGATGACATTTTCTACAAGTACAGAAATTTCTGCCGTGTGTTATTGTGTTGTGTGCGGAATACTTGTGTGGTGTTGTGTTAAGAGTACGACCTGACAATGTAGTACTTCGAGGGAACAATGTCAGTGACTGTCAACGCACTGCCGTATACCCATCGCTCTTTGTTTTGTTTTCCTTTATTTTTTTGTGTATGACTGGAATTATTTTTGTCTAGAAATACGTATGTCTAATCATTTGCCGTGATTCGCATAGTTTGTCGGGCTGTGTCGGGGACATGCAATTCTACATGATGTAGGGTCGATGTGTTGAAAGTAGTGGTTCAGCAGAACGAGAAACATTCGATCATCGAAATCAGGATGAAATGAGCAATGTTCCCCGCGCGCGGTCTGCTCTTGCTATGCTCGGGAGAAGACGTGTACCCGGAAGTTCACGTGCATGTCAAACAGTTTCGTGTATGTTCAAGCAGCTTGATCTTGAAGTCGTGACGATGATACCATGATGAAAATTCATAGCTGATCGCGGTTGAAAATGGGCCGTTTGTCGACATCCTTCCCCCTCCTTTCTTGATTGTCTTTCAGAGAGTGGAGAGCCGTCTGAAGGCTGGCCTCCTGGAGGTGGTAGTGGTCGGCGAAACCATGTTTGCCAATAGCATCGAGACTCTGTCCGAGTTCGACTGGCTGACTGCCGTCTTCGACGAGTTCCACCACTACAAGAATCCCTACACCAACAAGTGCGCTGACTGCTGTGTACTGTGTGTTGCCGTTGGTCCTTTTGGTTCTTCTTGCTGATGTTGCTGTTGCTGCGCTTCTCGCATTGAAACCCACTGCAGTAACCGTCTTCCCTTCTGCATCCTACCAAGTGGATGCTTAGAAGGACCTTACTGTTTAACTGCATGGTACACCCCGTATTGGAGTCATTCATCCAACGAGTTTGAGGCGAAGCAAAGAGGCTAGTGTGGTTTCAATGACGATCGATTCTAGAGGTTGGGGTGGGGGGCGCGTCTAGGTTTCCGAAATTATGAATGAGGAGTAAATCCCGTGGAACAAGGGGTAGGGAAGAAGGAAATCACGCAACCCTTAGAGGTTTCGGTTCAAGCTGTAAAGTGCCTCAGATTCAATGCAGGGCACACGGATTGTTTTAGCGTATTCGAGCGAAACAGCACTGTTGATCACGACCCATCGTCAGCCGTAAAGCGGCCAATCAGCCGACAGCCCGAGATGCATCGACCGCACAACAGGAATCGTGCGGTGCAGAAACTGGTCAACGCGGAGGTCTTCATCGGCTTGACAGGCACCTTGGTCCAGAACAACTTGGACGAGTACTGGTCCCTCCTGAACACGGTCCAACCCGGCTGTGTCGGGCGCCAGGACGACTTTAAGGTGGGTAGTACGGTAGGGATTTCGCGCTGCAAACAAGCAGGGGGGATACCTTTTGTGTGTGGTTGGCGGCGAGTAAACGAAGCTCCCGTTTCGAACTATATTATTGGCACTACCATGCTGTCGTTTTGGTGTCGTTAGTGCTGTAGCTGTCGGTACTGCTGTTATTTCGCGAAACCACGGATTCTACCAATTTCGCCCAGCAATCCTAGGTGGTGTGGGAACGCAGTTCATGCCTCCTCCGCCTTCCCTTCCCACGTCCATGACCCGGAGACCGCCGCTATGTCGCCATGTGTACACCGCAACCTGCGCTTCTCCTCCCCCCCATGTCTCTTCGAAATTCGCGTGGGTGTTATCCCCACACAGCGGCACTTTACAGAACCGATCCTACGGGGCAGGAAGCGCGGGGCCAGTAGGGCGGACGTGCTGCTGGGAAGGGAGCGCATCGACGAGATGGGTGTTACCCGCGACAAGGTCGTCCTTCGCCGGGTCAAGGTATCGTCGCATCGCAGCAATCTTTCCCTCTCCCAAAGTCAAACAGCGAACATGTTTGTTTTGTTTCTCCGCCCGGCGTCCATTTGAGCACAGTGTCCGTGGTGCACTTCTTCCACCACCTTGCAGCTAGCTGCGGCGAGGGATGGCATGTGTATTTTGTGCGTTTGGTGGCGGCGAATTATTGAGCGTAAGGCTGTAAGGCGTGTCGATAGGAGTTGGGGGAGGGCAGCATGCCCACCTCCCAAGTGTGCCCCTCGTGTTTTTCCTGTTTGCGGCGCCCCTACACGCACTCTGCAGTCTTCTTGTTTGCCAGGTGCGGCGTTGGTTCGGCTTTTTAACGAGTGTTGTTGGCCGAAAACGGGGTTTGATCTTTTCATTTCCGTCGTTTCACCTTGCCGTTTATGTTGTCGTTGTGCCATCGCTGGCACTTGCTTGATACGACGGGGCTTCGTTTCGCCGCCCGCTTCTCGCAGGACATCCTGGGGGACTTGCTAAAGGGGAAGATCGGAACCGTGGTGAGCTGTTCGTGATGTTTTGGTGTATCAAGTCCATGTGTCATGTCTCTTGTATCAGAGATGGTGCCGCTGCCGTAGAGTTTTTCGCGTGTGTGAGTGGCATGGGTGATGTTTGTGTTTCGCCACCACTCTTCTCGGCCTTGTTGGGATTCTGTTGTGGCTTGAAACGAGGTTGTGGAGGCTTGCACAAGGTGTGCGAAGCACCGGTGCGCACGCCGAGGCCGCCTGGCTCGGGAATATGCTCTATTTGCTCGAGCAAGCACCCCCTCCCCTCTGACGAATGATTGACACGTGACGCTTCTGTTCCCCTACATCCTCCTTCTGAGTGTCCGCCTTCACATCGCCTCCGTATGGTCGGTACAAGCAGAACCTGGTGTTAGGCGTTGAGCAAACTCACGCTCGTTCAGCGCTGTTCTGTGGTTTGATCCATGCACATGCCGTAGAAGGAGCTGTCTTTACCGTCTTGACCAGCGCGAAGATTCTTTCGTAAGAATCACGGCTCCGCTGGTGCTGATGTCGCTGGTTTCTTGGTCCTAGTGTTGCTGGGACGTGGGTGGTGCTGCTACACTGCGACGCATGCTGCTCTGAACCCCGTCTTGGCGTTTTTGTGCCGTTGGTCATGTTTGTATCAGGTGTTTTGCAACCTCACGCACGTTCAGAAGCTCGTCTACAGGACGGTCCTCTCTCTGCCGGAGTTCAAGCTTCTCGCCAAGTGAGTCGTTGATGTGCGTGTACATAGCTTGTGCTACTGAGTCCTCCTGTCGGCCACCCCATTCCTCATTCTCAACCCCTCGCCTTCTTGCACAGCAACAAAAAATCTGGTGGTTTTCCCGGCCCTATGCCATATTTCTGTGCTGAACAAACCCCCGATAAGGGGGAGGGATCCTCCGTCACAGCAGTCTCCACGCTAGTAACTGTTGTGGTGAGGCGTATGCGACTGTGCGTGGCTGTAGCCTATTCTGCGATGTGATCGGTGAACTCGACTCAGACAACAAGCCTTCTGTTGTTCGGTTTTGTTTAAAAGTAAATTATACGTTTTATTCTTCCTGGCAAAAGTACTGTGGTCAGCACGCGGCGCAATGAGGAACGAGACAACGCGCCTTCAGCAACACACAACAGACAGAGAGGCACGGCGTGCGTGGCAGTGTGCTTCGCTTGTTCTCTGTGTGAAAGCTGTCGCTGCGCTAGGGCTTGTGCTTGGACGCACCCGACGGAAGTAGGTGGCCGGTGGCAATACCTTCCAGCTTGGAGAAACTTACAATGCACGCATGCCTTGCTACAAAAACGTTAAGAAGTACACACACTTTCATCCATTCATCCATTCCTCGTGGTACTCACTGTTGTTATCGGCATCGATGTCTGCTGTGAAAGGCCCAAGCACGGTACGATGTATCAACTCTGCGTTCGTTTGATGATACACAGTGCCAGCGACCCGTGCCCATGTGGGCGGCCGGACGCGAGGAGCGGAAGCTGCTGCGGAATGTGGCCTCAGGACGACACGTCCGAAGACCTGGTGGACCCCCGTGCGGTCATCTGGCGCAGGTTCCACCCCGACCTAGAGGTCTGCAAGAAGGTATGGAGGCCTTCTTGTCTTGGTTTTGGTACCGAGGTCGGTGGTGAGTTACGCTGAGGGTGGTGTTGCTCTGACGGCCGTGGTCACTGAGCTGCTGTTTTGCTCTTACTGCATGGTCGTCTTCTGTCTCCATCAACCCACCCCCCCGGTGCGCAACCATGTCTCATTTTCTCTTTTTGCAGGGACCAGGGTGCCCGTACTGCTGCTCGTTTTCGGCCATTTCGAAGCTGCAGAAGCTTGCCAACCACCCTTCCTTGCTGCAGGTAGGCTCGGCCTCAAGGATTGTTTTTGATACGATCAGCAGTGCTCTACAAGCATGACATTCAACAGAAGTACGGCAGTGTGACACCAGATGTCGTAATGACGGCGGGGCTTGAAGCATCCCCTTCCTCAGCAACACCCCGTCAGTTGGATAGATTTGCTGCCTCTGCTGCATCAGAGCAGTGTCACAAGACACGGAAAGACCCACCATATTTCTTTGTAGCGCTGAATACGGTTACCACGTTGGCTGTGGTGCTTGCGGTTGGCACCTTGCGTCGGGTAGGAGTTGTGACGCTGGTAGTATTCTGCCACGGTGTACATTATCTAGACAAGACAGCAGCCAACTGCTGTTGAGAGTTTGATTTTCTTAAAATTTTGGCTTTGCCTTCTAGATGTTTCTTTGTTTCAGGACAGGAGAAGCTTCGTAGATACATTGATCGTACCATCCGACATCGTGCCTTGCATTTGTTTTGATCAATTAGCATGTCGATAGGTCGATTAAGCGGTCACAACGAGCGCATGGAGAGATAAAACATGTTCCCAAACGGTTGTGTATTGGTTTTAACTGCCACACGCGTACGGGGAGTGGTAGTACACTTGCGCGCACCTCCAAACGGTGAATTTACTCTCGTTTGTCAACAGCTCGTCTTCCTGCTGTAAATGAGAAATTTCAACATGACATGGACACGTCTGCAGGTGAAGCCTCCGTACAAGTACGGAGAGAACGCGCACAAGATGCTCGATGACATCGCCTTCGCCAACGTGGCTTTCAGCGAGGAGGCCAGGGTCATCATGGCCGACCTCCCCGGACAGCACGGCGGGGGTGCGGTTTCAGGGAGTTCCATCGGGGCAGGAAGAGGGGGCGGCGGCAGGGGCGGAGGAGGCGAATGGGACAGGAGGCTGGCGCGGCCGGAGAACTTCCTGCAGCTCTGTCGAGACGACACTTGCGGCAAGATGAGGACACTCAAGGTACGTGCGTGTGCGGCAGCATTTGAACTTGCGTGGTGGCGGGGTTGGGAGGTTGTTGTTTGATGTCTTGTCGTGAATCCACTCTGGTACCGAACCGCTGTTGTTATGGTCGGTCCTGCTGCTAACTCGTTGGTTCAAGTCTCGCCTCCCAGCCACTTATCCGCCTTGATTCTATCGCACAGGTTCTGCTGGAACGCTTCAAGAACAAGCACAAGGTTCTCCTGTTCAGCTACAGCACGGCGATGCTCGACATCCTCCAGGTACGTGATGAGCTGCTTCAGTCGGGAAGTAAAGTTGCTGCACGTAGCTGCTGTTTGTGTCCGCAGGTTATTTTACTTTACTTGTTGCTGGTATCGGCATAATTCCCCCTCCGTGTGTATCCTCCCCTTCCCAATACAAGAATCCCGACAGGGCGCTCACGGTACCGTCACTACCTGCCTTCCCTTCTAGGACATTGAAGTTAGTATCGCACGTAGCCATGAACCTCCCATCTTACAAGAAAACATTCAGAGAAGGAAGGGAGGAACGAGGGCGAACTAAATAGTACGCAGCCAACGCCGTGACGATGTAGGGGCCTCGGCGGGGTATCTCGAAAGTCACGCGCCGCTTTCATTAGAGCTGCCTCGACCATATTTGATGTCCCCCACCTTCCTTTGAGGCCCTGTCATGGGCTTTGTACTCCGAGGGTGGCGAAGTCTTACAGCTCCGACAACGCGTGAGACATTGTACACTGGGTACTGAAGCGTAACAACGATAGCTGTCGCATAGTCATGTTGCCACCTCCGACCGCTCACTTCCCTCGTCTGCGACCGCTGTTTGCTGTGCCGCCGCCGCGTTGGAATGCTCCGAAGTGTTTAGTTATCCGCTTACCCTACTGTCTTTTTTGAGTACTCCGTTCCTTTGGTTTTGCCGCCGCGACTACTCCCCGGCCGCCGCCCGAAACGATGCAGGCGCTCTGCTCTAGCCAGGGGTACACGTTCCTCAAGCTGGACGGCAACACGGCGAAGGACCAGCGGCAGAAGATGATCGACCGGTTCACGAAGCAGAACGCGATCCAGAACAACGTGTTCCTCATCAGCACCACGGCTGGCGGAACCGGGCTCAACCTGCAGGCTGCTAGCAAGGTCATTTTGTACGATGTTAACTGGGTGAGAAAACGAGTGGCGCCCCGCGGATGTGCTGTTGGCCCGTTTAGAATTTTGAGATCATGGTTCACACAGCGTGTCAAGCACTACAATGAGTACTCTCCCGCACCCTCTCCCTCCGTAGAACCCTGCGCAGGACGCGCAGGCGGAAGACAGGGCGTACCGGATCGGACAGCTGAAAGAGGTGGAGGTGAGGATGAACAGGGGGATTTTCTGTTGGGGTGTGACTTGGTCTAGGTGGCTGCACCGGTTCGGATGGAAGAAAATCGCCTCGGGAGTGTTGATGGGTCAAGACCCACTCGAGGGGATGGGAATCGTAGGTTTGAGCATGTTGTTTGTGTTGGTAAATATGTAACATCGTGCTAGGGTTAACTACTGTTTGATATCCTGTGGAGATTGGGAATGATTGGCCTCGTGTCTTCAACTGGTTTATCTGTTTCAAGACCCGGTTGTAGTGTCCAACCGTTGATTGCCGTACCTGGTCACTGTTTTTTTTCAGACGCTGGCAATTGCACCACCCTTCCTTCTTTGTTTTCTGCGGACTTCGCAAACTGGTTGTCCAGTATTTTCCTGTGAGTGAGAATGCTGCCCGTACCCCTTATCGTGTATGGCAGGTGTTTCGGCTGGTGAGCACGGGGACGATCGAAGAGCTGACCTACATGCGCCAGATATACAAGCTTCAGGTGATAGAGTTATCTTGCCGTCCATTTTCCCGCTTGCGGAACGCAGCAAAACAGTAAAGAGGTGAAAAAGGCCTAATCGGTAGCCTGGTAGACCATTTAAAACGTTTGACGGGATGTTTGATCCCTGTAGATTCTTCAACGTGCCCTCGCTTGGTGACAAGCGGTTTTGGCCTCAACGAGACGAGATACTTTGCGTCCTTGTGGCTAGTGCGGTACGATCGCAAACCTAACGTTGAAGGTTTCGCGGCATCCGTCGTAGGGATGTAAGCAAGCGGTCTTGTACAAGAATCTGGCCTCCGGCTGCCCTCGCTATGTAGCTCATTCCCTCCCCCCGCTCCCGTCAAGACTGTGCATTTCATTTTATCGCCCGTTTTGCATTGAGCATGTCTTTGATCGCTCGCTGCTTCTTCCAGCGAGCTCTGAAGGCGAAATCGACGAAGTCGTAATCACACGTCCTCGTTTGTGGCCACCACAAGTGACACCGCCATTGCTTGCCTTGCGGGATGGCAACACGTTACCGACTTCCCGCAGACCAGCGCTGCGACAATGGGCGAGAAGGCGGAGGGAGGGTTGCGACAGTTCGAGGGGGTCCAGGTAACGGTATTGCCTCACGTCGGATGGGTTACTGCTGTACGTGCTCCCGTGCGCACTTGGCGCTTGTGTCAGCGGGCAGCCGGTGCGTGTCTTTGACGCCCACTTCTACCCGATAGCGGTGCTAGTAGCCCCTTTCCGAAAATCTTAGTCTTGCCTAGTGCGAAAGAGGCTGACCGACGACAAAGGGTAATAATGTCGTCCAAGAAGCAACGTCTGCAGTGATCAAGGGAGATGTCTCATGTGCATGTATGTACTCAACCATCATCCTAAGCCGGAGTGGAGCGGGATGCGAAGCCTATAGTGACATGGCTGAGACAGTTCGCTTCGTCTTTTTCTTCGTCTCCCTCCCCGTCGTACCATGCTTTGTTTGCGCGTGTGCTCGTGTTTCGAAGGGAGTTCGTGAAGAGCAGGGGGAGCTGTGGGGTATCAGCAACCTCATGAAGTTCTCGGGAGAGTCGATGCTCCTCGAGTTAAGACAGAAGTACGGCAATGGTCTGCCGCCGCTTGTACCTGACTCGAAGGTGTGTCTGAACGGCAGGTTTGAACAGATTGTAACGCACAAGTCGCTGCAGGTTTTAGAATCAACCATGCACACGTACACGTTACCACCCTTACTGTTGGCTTGTTGCCGGAGGAGCAACCCTGTGACAGTTTCCTTACCTGTTAAAGAAGCAGAGATATAATACTTGTCGGAATCATCGTGTATTTTGGTACACGTCGTGGCTTCATTCGTTCGATACGCTTCACACTGTATCCTTGCTACTTTCGGGTTGCTGCGCCACACGCGCTAGCGTGTATGCATTTCCCTGCCAATGCCCAATTATCCCCGCCTTCATCGCCTCCACTACCTTCCGGGGACCCCTCTCGTCCCAGCCCGTTTGTACTCCCTCGATGCACTTCAAGTACCCGCGGTTTTCCCAAATTGGTGCGCTGTCCCGTGACAACAGGATGGGCTGGTGATGGAACCGCAGACGAACGTCGTGAATATCGTCAACAGCTACGGTACGTGCCCTCTTTGAGAACCCATCACCTCCTCAGTCGGGACCAAGGTTGGGCGCATCTCGAAGAAAAAGTACATTCCTAAAAGTACAGCAGTAAAATATCGATATTTAACCCGGAAAAGACAATGAGCGCTCAGTCACAAGGGTAAAAAGATGGAGATTTCCCACCCACCCTTTCTTCCTGACCAGCGAGAGATTGAAACCAGGACGAAATGGCACAATCAAATCTGGCTTCAGGCGAACCGGAATCGAACCAAACGTCGGGGCGCGCCGGTCTGGATACACGCACGGCGCGTGCCCCATGTGCCCATCAAAATACCCCCACGCACACCAGCCACCCGCGAGGAGGAGAGAGCGACAGACAGACAGACAGACAGAGACAGAGACCGACTGGCACACAGAGGACCCAATACACGTCGCTATAGCGCTGACGGTTATTTCGTGTGTCCGTGATGATGCTGGTGTGCTCGTAGTGCTCCCTGCGTGCATATTGGAATCCTCATGCACGCGCCCCGCGAGAAAGGAGGGGCGTCTCGTTGTTCTGATGTGACAGCAGTATCTGGGCGAGAATGGCGTGGCCTGTTCTCTAATGCGTCGTCGTTCTGCGGCACGATTTCCGTGTACACCTTACTGTGTTTTATTTCCTCTCGCGGTTGCGCTCATCAGCCGCCGCCGGTAGCACCGCTGCGGCAGAAGAGGACGCCCAGCAGCGCGGTGCGGCCAGCGAGGAAGAGGAGGATGAAGAAGAGGAGTTTAAAGACGTGAGCGGCTGACGTGTTTGTTAATCCCCGCTTTCAATTATTTTTTGTAGTTGTTTCCCGGCTCACACTACGTATTGTTTCATGGCAGTCGATCTCACAGAAGAGACCGTGGAATTTCATGTGGGACATGTGTCTCTCGCGTACGTTGCTCCGGTAAGATGATTTTGAGGGCGTGATTTGATGGGTTTTCCAGGATGCCTCGGAAGGCGGCGGTGCGGGAGGGCGAAACCAGAACGCCGAGCTCGGTGGCGTGGTGATGCGGCATGATGAGATGGTGGCCGCGGATAGGGAGGAAGAGCTTCCTCCAGGGTCTCAGGAGAGCATCGCTGAAGTTGACATGATGGTGAGCCAGTGGGCGGAAGGTTAGGCGGATGTGGCTGGAGGGGGGGAACTCCAAGGGAAATATCCTCGTGCTCGAACGGTACTTGTTGGTATTTTTTCCCGGACTGGGAGAATCATCAATAACGTCAACGGCAAAGAATACGGGTGGGGGGGAGGAACAAGAGGAGGCGCATCACCTTCGTGTTGGGTGTTGGTGTTTTCGAATGTGCACCCCCTGCTCGGGTTCTGGGTGCTTGTTGGCGTAGGAGTGAGGTGGTGCTTTGGGCCATGTTGGAGAGCAAAAGAAACTTTGCACTGACAAGCCTACGTCGAAGGAGCACCCTCCAAGTCTGTGCTGAAATGATTGATGCTTGTGCTCAACGTACCCCATGCGCACAATCTCACTACCCGTCATATACTTGAACTCACAGGATGATCAGAGCACCGACGATGAAGCACCGGGCGTCGTAGGCAGCGGCGAAGACAACAGCATCGTGTCAGCCGACCCATTTACGGCGCCCTCGGTTAGCAGATCTGCTGGTGCCGCCCCGCGAGGGCCTTCGATCTTCGACACAGCCACCCAGGAGCGAAACGCAGCCGAGGAGAACACGACGCCTGCCGTTTCTTCGGCCGCTAGTGCCACGACCGACCTTGGTGGCCGCGTGCAACTCCCTCCTGACCTAGATGAAAGCAGGGTTGGCGATGTTCGGCAGCGTCACACAGCAGCAGCAGCAGCAGTTTCGCCAACAATCGTGCGTGGGATCGCGGCGGAGGCCGGGTTGGGTGCGCGCGGGGAAGCGGGAGCAGCGGCAGCAGTACCACTTAGCCCCTCCTTGCCGGTCGACCACGCACTGGGCCACGGTGATGGCTCTGACCGCGGTCTTGCGGACAGCCAGAACGGTGAAGGGGCAGGGCCGTCAGCAGCGGACGAGCCGAGCTGGGCGCTGGCGCCAACGCAACCGCGGCAACAGCAAGAACCCTCTTCCTCGTCCCTGGCATCAGCTTCGTCGCCGTCGAATCACGGCGGAGCAAGCGACGGAGCGAGAAGACGCACCGTCGGTGGTGGTTCGTCTCAAGTGCGATCGAGGGCTGGGGTGGAAGCAGCAGCAGCGGCGGCGGCGGCAGCGGGAGATCGCGGGGGTAGGGGTGATGTGCCGAGCCAGCGGTTCCTCTGGGCGCCTGCCGCACAGGAACCGTTTGACACCTCGGATTACGACCACGTGGCGGGAACGAGAGAAGAGAGAGAGGAAAACGGGGCAGAAGAGGACAGAGTCGAGGAGGACGTGGAGGAGGCCGGTGATGGAGGTGCGCTAGAGGAAGCACAGCCGGAAAGCGCCGTCAACAGCAGCCTGGATCTCGACATTCCCGACAGTGATGGCGAGGACAACGACAACGGGGCCGCAGCGACGGGGGCGGGTATCTCACAGCGAACAGAAGATGTTCCTGTCGTCAACAACAATGCAGCTGCCGAACCGGTAAGGGCATACTAGGGCCTGTGCGTGATTGCTGGTACTCAGTAGATTGGGATACAAATCTTGTTTTTTCATACGCTCTTTACGGTACAGTTAACGTTCACTTGTTCTGCCCACACTTACGTGCTTGCGTGCTACACTATGGACCCCTTTTTCGGCATTCCATTTCAAGGACGCACATTGCTGCGTACGATGACACTCTACCGCGTTGACGATACGAAGCACGCGCGGGATTCTCATTTGGTGCTGCCTGCCATCTTGGCTCGTCGCTGTTTGGGTCTGCAGAATTTTTCCCCACAAAATGAAGCGCCCGGAGTTTGTTACTTGTACTACAGCAATATTGATCCCCGAAGAAGACCGGTCGCCCTGATATAAGGCCGGTAGTATGGTGTGGCACAGACGCATATTGATGTGGTCTCATACTCTGGCTGGTGCCGGGTGAACAGCACAAAAGGCCGGTCAAATCCCTTGGCACTAAGCGCCCTTGTAACACTACTGTACTACACCTGCATGTCACCCCAACGGCGTCTCTGATACATCTGTCGCGCGACCAACTGCTCTGTTGCACCGCATGCTGCCATTCAGCCATCGACGCAGGAAGATGTCTTGAGTGATCTGGATCTCGTCCTCAGCAACTCAGAGAGTGTTTCCTTCACCTCCGAAACACAGCCTCCACCTGACTTCCTGTAGCCCCCCCAGGGCATATGGCTTCGTGTTTACCACAGATTCCTCCCAGGAGGTATGTATGTCGTCCGCAAGGCAACATTCCGCTTGTGGAGTACGCGGCGTTCCACGAACCTGCCCACAGAGTGTGCCTACCTTGTGGTTTGCGACGCGTTTTGGCCTCGGATGGACCGACGATTCCATGCCCGAGGGATAAGATTGCGTAATAGCTGGTTTGCTCGTGTTCTTCGAGCCAGATGATAGCGTAAGGCTTGCATGTGGGATCAAACACTTTCACTACCCGTGACATACCGAGGACGGATGGACATCCGGATTTGATGTATCAGGGTGTCGTGGTGTGCTCGTTTTCCGCTCATATGCTGATATTTTTTTCGGGTACAGTATGGCCAAGGGTGCACGTAAAAAGCCATCCCGCACACCTGAATACCCCCTCCCCCTCCTTCCGGACTGCCAAAAAAAATGTTGTTGGCCATTTTCTTTTCTTGGGGTTTGGACTCCGCTTCAAGCAAGCCGCATAGTATGGGGGACTGCTGAGCTGTCCAGACGCGGGTCTGATGCCACCATTTACCATCGTTCCTGGGCGCTGATTCTTGCTGGAAGCAGCGCGGCAAGGACTGCACGGATGATGGTGTCGTTGTTTCGTGGTGATGGTGACGGCGCGTCCAGTTGGTTGCTCCAGGCTGTAAATAGTTTCGTCGAACAATGTCGCGCGTGGCGTGTGGAAAGTAGGAGATGAACGAAGTGAAGAGCCAAAGAGGACGCGGTACACAGCAGTCGTTGGATCAACGTGTGCCTTGAGTGAAGATGTTTCATGCATACTGTCAGCGGGTTAGGTGCTCTCTTGATGCGCTACATACGTACCCGTTTTTGTGATCATGGGTTGGGGGTTCACAAGAGAGGGTCCGTTCTCGCGCATATAGGTACCCGGACGCAAACCTGGTTTCCTGGGGGGCCTATATTTTGTATTGCAATTAGACGACTACCACCCGATCCCTCCCAAGAAAATCTCCAAAATATGAAAATTGATACCTTGGTGTGGAGAAAGTAATATGGTAATATATGGTAATTGATAACCCTTGGTATGGCGATAGGTTGCGAAACCTAACCGACCAGATGTACATGGCTTTGTATGTCCTTTCCCCGAATACAACAGGAGCTAGCTGTGGTATTGGCAAAACCCGTGGTGAGTCATGGACAAGTCACGAAGTTGTACTGGACAAGATATCCAACGACTGCTGTGTACCGCGTCCTCTTTGGCTCTTCACTTCGTTCATCTCCTACTTTCCACACGCCACGTACGACATTGTTCGACGAAACTATTTACAGCCTGGAGCAACCAACTGGACGCGCCGTCACCATCACCACGAAACAACGACACCATCATCCGTGCAGTCCTTGCCGCGCTGCTTCCAGCAAGAATCAGCGCCCAGGAACGTATGGTAAATTGTGGCATCAGACCTGCGTCTGGACAGCTCAGCAGAGCTTCGCGGCCAGGAGGCAAACACGTTCCATCCACTCTGCGGCCGGTGTGCCCACCCCACAAAGTGCAATATTGAATCTTTCGGGAGAGGACGACAGGCGTCGGTGTTATGTGTACGTAGGTTTTGTCACCAGGTGTCCACGAACGAAGCCACCATTGCACGGGGGAGGCCGTGAATTTGGGGGGTTGGCGAGTTTCGGCAGAGGCGTTATATTTTCTTGGTCAAAGAGGCGTTCTTTGTCATCATTCGGCAGAGAGGAACCCAAAGGGAAGCAAGAGCACTCTCTGTCTACGACGTCCGATTTCACTCCATATGGGTGATGCAGATTTCTTGTCCGAAGAGAGAAAGAGCGAAGAGTAGTCGAAAATATCTCTTATGAAAATTCTCCGTCCTGCGCCAGTAGCCCGAAATCGATCGCCATGTCGAATTCGACTACCGGTATCCCCCGTCCAAGGACCCTGACACCCCTATTTGTTTGGGTTTTAGGAAAAGAGGGAAATGATGAGGACTCGTGCTCAGGTCGATGTCACGAATCTCACGTGTTGGTCCTTGCGAAAACCGCTTATATTAACTCTTTCGTTCAGTTCGGTAGGAGGGGATGCTTGCCCTTTGCACACCTTCGCCGGACGGTACGCACACGTTACCACCGCCGAAAGAAGAACGCGACATGATCGATCATTCAGAGGCGTTGCCAACACGTCGACCTGCTCCAAAACAATCTTGGCGAGTACCATGGCAACGTCGGGTGTGCCAAGGAATTATCCCGTGCAGAGTAGATATATGCCCTCGGCCAGTCACATTCCCGGCGAATCATTGTAGCGGTACACTCGCGGTTTCGGGGAATCTTCGTTCATTGGCTTTGGTGGGTGAAGGTTTGTGCGACTCTTGTTGCCAACCTCCCTGCATGCACAACCCGTTTGCCCGAGTGTCTCCTTCGGTGACTCAGCCGGGTGCCCGAAGGCATCATCCATATACGCTTGCGAACTTGCACAAATATGACACACATCGTTCGTGTTAATTTTCTCTTACCACCGTTCGCACACTCTTTCAGTTCAATTTTACGACCGGAATTGACACACATCGTTCGTGTTATTTTTCTCTTACCACCGTTCGCACACTCTTTCAGTTCAATATTACGGCCGACCAGAGTGCAACGCTACAACGTGAGGATCGGGGAAGCACCCGCCTTTTTCAATACATCCAAGAGCCCAAACGACACGCAGGACCAAGCAAGACCATCAACGGCACATCTCTTGCCATTTCCGTGCATTTATCCCTCCCAGAAACAAAACTCTGGAGAGCGCCAATACCACTACCGCAAGAAACATACCAGAAGTAGACAGGGAGAACAAGAGACTTGGTGCCAACAAACTCAAGGGAAAACCGGGTGATCCAAGGCAAACGCAGCCACGTGCAAAGGTAGCCCGGAAACAAAAACTCATTTTAATACAGACGACACATGCCGTACCAACCCACATCGCGCAATCATAATCTCATCGACTTGCTGCTGCGAACACTCTTTCACCCAATTACACATTCAACGTTACAACCGCGACATCACACACACACTAGAACAACCAGGCTGGTGATTCAAGGTACCGCACACCCTCAGACTGCCATCGACACCGACCGACTGCCACACGATCTAGTTCTCACACGCCCAATCTGACTCGTGCCAGCGCAACAGCAACTCTCGACAAAGTGGGCAAGTACACGAAAGGTCCAACCATGCGCTCTCACACCCGCGCCTCCTCCACCAATTCGCCACCCGGTCGTCTAAGCTCGCATGATATGTATTGTGCAACGCGCCCAAACGCACACTACACCGAATTTACCCCCCCCACACAACTGCAATTAGCTATTTTTCAGCCCAATTCGTGCCTCGCTTTCATACCATTGCAGCCAAGGGCTGTTGGCGAAGAGTCTTCACCACTTGCGTTGCTCAAAATCCTTGGCAAGGAAAAATGCTTTTCGACGGCAATACGACGAAAATTTTGTGTCCACTGTTGCGTCGTGTGGATTTGCAAGAACACCACAGGTCCTACGCTCTCCACATCATCAGTCAAACCCAGGGATGCCCAACATACACGCCATCAAATTACGTATCATGTGTCCTCTCGGCCGTCGCGTTGCGGCTGGGTATGTTTTCTGCCAAAGCCGAACAACCCAACGTCTTTGATGGGCGGCTGCCCCTTTTCTCGCAATCCCGACCAAACCTTAAAACAAGTCCAAAGCGACACGTCGCCATCCACGCAGGTGCGCTTGGTGGTCCCTCCGCACGTTACTAACATCCGGCGTGTGCCTCGCTTTACGACCCAACAATACTTTGCTTTACCTCTCACACAAACCACCCGCACGGTTTCAAAACGATCGAACGTACATCCGAGTACGTGTCGGACCGCGCACGATACACACCCCTCTTTATACAGTATTCACAACGACGCTGTCTGTCGGTCCGCGTGTTACGGCCGTGAAAACGCCGTTCCATGCGATCGGGAGCAGCCCAGCTGCCACCTTCAACAAGGAACTCCCCTTTTCCTCTCGTGCCCCTCTCGCGTAACCCCTAGCTGCGATATGGGGCCTGAGAATACCCGTCACTGGTGCGATGCTCGGCCATCTTCCTCCCACGCTTCTAATCCCCAACATCCACCAGCCAGTACTCTGCCAAAAGCCTCACCCCCCCCCTTCGCAAATCCTCTTCTCGTTCACACCCCCCGCAGCGTCTTCGGTAAACCAGCAGCCGGTGCCCTGATCGACTGGGCCCACTCCTCAGCACCAGGCATCACCAGCTTGCGGAGCCGGCTTGCGTAGACCAAAGCAAGACTGCACCTCAGGTCAATTTGGCATCAGACAACCGTGCGACGTGACCAGATGCGATAAAAAACGTCGAACCGAACCCGGTCAGATCAGGACAAAGACGCCGAGGTCGAGAAGCTCGAAACCTTGTCAAATGACCTCGCGGGGCATAGACAGGAGCGTTTTTAGCCCCAGGGCCTCGAGGCCGCTCCCCTTCGGGGCGCTGGAGGCCGAGCGGAGCGCTTTCACCATGCTGAGCGGCTGCTCCGGCCAGCGGAGGATGAGCCAGATGTAGTTCTCGTCCATGAGGCGCCCGTCCAAGCGAATCGCTTCGGCGAACATCTCCTGGCTCTCTACCAACTCGCCGTCGCTCCAGGCCACCTGGTTTCGTCATCATACCAGAAGAGGGGAGGGGGGGCTCCGTGAATGTTGCAAGAACAACCGCGACGGCAAAAATGCGCCACGTTCCTTTAATATCCTTATTTTCGACCCGAAGTCTCTTTCGCTAAGACCCGCAAGTACAAAGCGAATCGCTTTCCGAGGACATATCTCACAGAGATACACAGAAGTACTTCGTTCACTCAAGAATCTCAACGGAGGTGGACGTTGTTTCAAGCCAGGCAACACGCCCAAATTGTTCCAAATTTCAACAACAAAATCGGACAGGGTTAAAGGCACCACAGGAACGTTAATAAAACCGGACACATGAAGCTCGACCAAAAAGCGGACGGCACAACTAAACCATGGTAATCGAACTCCCAATCCCTCCCTTGCTACGCCGATGACACATTAGGCTCGCGGTGTCTCAGCTACCCGAGGTGCCGCTATGCCGGATTCGTATATTAGTGTTCGCCCAGGATTTGGGGTGAAGTAGACAAACAAGAGCAACCCCGACAACAACACAATAAAAGCAGCAGGAAGAGTAGCGACAACGATTGCAACACATATGAAGAGCGAGACCTCACCGAAGCGGCCGCCAGCAGCATTTCCGGGTAGCTCGGGTAACGACGCAACAGCTGCCCGATGAGGTGCGCGCCCTTCTGCTTGTGCCCTACCTGAAGCTCCGCCAGCGCCACCTTCGCTCGAAACTGAAAAGAAATAAAAACACACACCAAAATTCAAAAATGGTCGTGCCGTGTGTGTGCGTCTTAAAAGAGATCGACCGCTCCAACCGGCCGACAAGTGAAAGGGCATCTGTCGTAAGCAGATGAAAACGCCAACAGTGTGTGTGTTTTTATTATTAGGATCGACCGCGCTAACCGGCTGACCAATGAAAAGACTTCAGTCTCGTGCGGTTGAAAACACAAAACACTTCTATCTGCCATGAACTGGGACCCCGCGAGGGGCCAGCATGGGGGAGGCTAAACTATCCTTTGGATCAAAGACAGAAACAGCAGCAACAGAAGAAAACTGTTAGGGGTGTCAATCGGCCAAATTTCCTATAGGAAAAAATTTGAAAAAACGACCTCGGATCTTGCTGATGGAAAATCAGCTGGCCAATTAAATTGCACGGAACGGTCCGAAAGCTCCCCAAAAACAGCTGACGTGTACGCGCGAGGGCGCCGTTGCGCCGCTCGTGTGTGAGCTCTGATATGCACTGCTGCTGTGGGCACAACCACAACACCTCTGCGCGGTTCCACTCTACAACACATGCCTTATAACACACCCGAGCAGCAGCCGGGCGGTGAAGCCACGCCGACACCTGCCGCCGCCGCTACTGCTGCTGAAAAAAACGGCAGCAGCAGCAGCAGCGGCGGCGGCGGCGGCGGCAGCGAGGTTGAGCCGCCCATCATTCACGCGCATCGCCTGGGGTGTGTTCTACACGTCCTGCACATCTCTATCACTGCGGGCATGACTAGTGTGTACTTCATGGGCCCGCTTGGTAAGGGTTCCTGGCATGAGTGGGAGCGCGACCATGTTTTCTCCCTTCTTGGTATGGTTTGGTACAACACAAGCCGCTCGGAATCCTCGAACGCCAATTTTCAGCGGTGGAAGAGGGTAGTGCAGCAGCAGTTCCCGGACGCGAAGCCATGGCTCATCAAGTTCGTCAGACCTGCCGAGACGCGTTGGATGGTGGTTATGGACGGGGCCAAGCTCCTGTGTAAACGCTGGGAGCAGGTTGAGTGGCTTTTTTGCGAGTACGCTGCTCGCAACCTCAACAAGACCACATTCAGGAACTACTGGCTCCAATCGGCGTACATGCTGCGAGACCCTCTGGTTCGTGTGCATGTTATGTTCACGGCAAGGCTCGGGGAGCTGTTGTTCGACTGGGCGTACAACTGGATTCGTGGCAAGGGCGGGTTCTTTTTGAAGGGCGAAGGGGTCGGTCGGCAGCTGTTTCCTGGGATGCGTTTGGTGGAGGTGGCTGATTTCTCTCGCCTGCTGCTGGTCAAGTTGGAGACTATCCGCAAGGACCCCAAGACCTACTTCGCAGCGGTCCTGGAACGCGTTCAAACAACCCTATCTGAAGCGATGGTGAGTGGTGGCGGGCCTGAGTATTGCAGTTTGGAATAGAGAGGGGTTCAGCCTGGAGCTGCTGCTGCTGCTGCTGCTGCTGCTGTGTGAACGGCCGTGGTGGTTTGCAATATCGCGAATTTTCACGTTTTTTTCTCTCTCATCAACTTGCTTTCGTCGTTACCCCCTCCACATTTCTCCGCACCCTCTTGCTGCTACTACCTCCCTCTGCTTGTCGCGCCACTACCTCTCACTGCTTGTAACGGCTGGTGCTTGTCGCTAGTACTGGTGCCACTGCTTCTGCTTTTTGCCTGGTGACACTAATGTTTTTACCGCTTGAACTGGTCGCAAACGCTGTCGCTGTCGTGCTGCAGGCGAAATTATTCATGACAAACTTCAGTGAGGACAAGGGTTTTTTTGCCGAGTTCAAGCAGCGATGGATCAAGTGGATGGAGCGGCATCAGCAGCTACCTCTGAGCATGGCGCGGATTGGATGCCCCTCGTTTTTCGCTCGGACAGGAATCATGGGGGAAGGGGCTGTAGAGCAGGCGGTGGGGCCGGAGTTTGCGCGTGCCTTCCTTCATGTAGCTTGGTCTGCTCTATACGAGGGAGAGCCGCGCACGGAAAGGGAGAGGGAATACCGAACGCAGCTCGTGAAGGATTTGGGGGGAACCACCGATGCAAGAAGGAAAGATGAGTTGACGTTCGGGCTGTTTTCACGCATTGATAGCGACCGTTCTGTGAGGAACGAACTCGAGCAGTATGCGAATTCTGGGTGGGGTGACAAGGAGGTTGACCAGGGTGCACCAAAGGGTACGTCAGCGTTGGCGCGTCTGTTCGATTTTCCCCTCCTGTACAAGTTGGTGTGTCACCGATTCTACTTTGTTCCCATTCACCAGCAGTTGATCGAAGCCTTCTTTTCGAAGTTCGACTCATGCGCACAGAAGACGGACATGGCTGAGATGGATATTGTTCGTGTTGGGGGGTGGAAGTCAGCCGAGTCTAGAGATATCGTGTGCGCAGATGCGACGGGCGAAAAAATCCGTGCCGCTGGCAAAAAGGTTTTGGAGAAGGCAAGGGAAGCAAAGGCTGTCTCCCACGCACGAAAACCGGCCGAAAACTTGAGCAGAAAAAGAGTATTGGAACCGGAAGCTGCAGATGATTTGCTGGTTACGTTAGAGAAGGAAGGGAATCGGCGGCCGCGGGTGACCGCAGCAGAATTAGAGTCGGAGTAAATGTGGACGGCGGTTGAGTGACGTTGCTTTCAAGTCGGAAAAAAATCGTCGGAAAAAAATCGTCGGAAAAAAATCAACAGCGAAACATTACTTTCACAAACATCATTTTATCGCTCTGCCTCTCCGTGTGCAACACCGCCATCATGTGTACAAAACGAAGGCTGCAGCTCAGAAGGCCGCAGGTAGATAACGACAGAGTCGAGCGTCGTTTGCTATCTCTCACACCATGCTTCTCAACGCTCTTGTTGAGTGCGTGCTCACGCGCACGAACGCATCAAAAATCACAAAACTTCTCGTTCAACTTCAACTTCGGTCACACGCGAAAAGACCTCACGCGTACGAAGGAAGCTACTGAAAACAACCCTCCCACCACCACATGACCTCCACAACAAAACGCATCCAACACATGACATCTAGTTGCAAATAGAGACGCGAGCATCTCTGAAGAACGCAAGTATCAACACCAGTGAAACGCTTCAGCTCTCACACCCGCTCTCTTCCGCCGAGCTGCCCCCCCCATCTGCCTCCTGGATTTTCCATGTCTGCGTCCTGTTGCGACCACTCGTCCTGGTAGGTGCAGGAGGAGTCGGCGGTGCCTCTGTTTTCCCTTTCCCTTTCCCTTTCCCTTTCCCCCCCCCTGCACCCCGTTTGCGTTGCCTTTTGTCCGCTCCCTCTGCAGCGGCGGTTTGTTTGCGTTTGGCCCGCCCCCCGCCCGCCCCCGCCCGTTCGGCCGCCGCCGCCGGTGCGTTTCGTTGCTGAACACCACGACCACTGCTGCTGCTGCCGCTGCTGGTGCCTCCTGTAGCTCTTTTTGTGGATTTTTTGGTGGTATCCTCTCCCCGTAGCTTTCTCTGCAACAGCTTCACACAACCCTTCCCCTCAGAGGAAACAGACGCGGTGTTGTCACTCAACACGTAGAGCACCTGGTGTTTTGGGTACCCGAGCGTGTCGACGATCGTCTCGTAAAAAAGCTGAGCCTGTGTTTCTGCTGTCTTGTCTTTCATGCTACATACGCGCACCAATCCAAACCACGGCGCGTCCGCCTCCACGTCGTAAAAAGCGACGAAGATGGGGAACTTCTTGTCCCCGTTGCGGAGAGACTCGTCACCGGCAATCAGCAAAAACGGCGCCTTGAGAATCGCTTTGACCAACTCATTCCCATCTAGCTGCGTAATGCCGAGAGCAAGAACCTTGACCGTGTTGCGGGCACACGTGATGTTGAGATCTTGTTTGAGTCGCACCCCCGTGGTGTGGTACATGGTAGACTGAAGCAGCTGCTGCGTCATGTTGAGAGAGACGCCCCCTTGCACAAACGACTGAAATAGCCTGGCAGCAGTCTCACCAAATTTTCCGCCGGGTTTGAGACGGTTCTTGATGACGCGCTCCAACACCTTCTTCTCATCCTCTGCAGAGAGCAACTCCCCACCACCCTTTACCCTCTCCTGCTCAGGTTCCTCTTGCTCCGCCCCCCCCACCGGTTCGTCAGCCTTGAGGTTCCCAAGATTAAGCTTGGCTCGCTTCGTCTGCAACATGATCGAATAGGCAGTACAGCAGCAGCGGAAGCGGATTTTTGTATACTCCGCCGTGTACAACAGCTAAATTTCTGCTTGAATCCGTGCGCTACAGCGCGCACAACTACATCACGGCATTGTAACAAAAAATAAAGCATACAAATATAATAGCTATACTACAAATGAGCAGGGACACCAGAGCTACCTCATGTAGACTCACAGCAGCCAGCAGCAGGTAGTACTAAACGTTCTATAAAGTTGACATCTATATAAAAAAACATACTTCTACTCGTAAAAATTTACGGGAAAAAAACAACTGCAAAAAACACACGCACGCACGCACGCACGCACGCACCTTTTTTTTCTCGTTGGAAACTTGTCGCTTGAGTCCGGCCACGATCGGCGTGAGGTAATCGACCTTCCGCTGCAGTCTTTCGGCCTTCACCTTCTCGAGCAAGAGTTCATCCTCGAGGCTGCGGGTGCTGTCCTCCTCCGGGGGCGGATCGTCGGCGACGATTGGTATCCCTGCATCCTCCAAGAGGGTGGCGTTGGTCTTGCGGAGCGATTTCACCGAGTCTTTCAGACCGGCCAGCTCCTTCGACATGTCGCGGACTCTCTCTTCCGCCTGCCGCCGACTCGCGGCCGCCGCCTCCTGCTCTCGCGTAGCCTCATGTTTCTCTTGCTCCGCCTGCTGTCTCCGTGCCCGCTCCCGCTTGAGCTCATCGTCTTTCTCGCGCGCAAACTCCATCGCCATGTTGCAGCTAGCCTGGCTCTCTACCGCAATTTTCTTACTCTTGACCAACTCCTCCTTCGTTTCCTCCAGCACTCTCTCCACGACGTTGAGGCTGCCACGTTCGATAGCGCGCCGCGTGTTATTTGCTGCTGACGCCTCGGCTACAGACTTCCCCGTCCTATCTTCAAACTTCTCTCCACTTTTCCTCAGATTTCGTGCAGCGCGCCTGCTGCTGCCGAAAGCGGACCTCCGTTTTTTTTTTTTGGTAGGGTCACGTGCGGGGGCTGCAGCAGGCGCTGCAGAGCCGCTGGAGGGGCCATTTTCGGACATCTAGATCTCGGGGGTGGCTGATGCGATTCGTATTCGGTTTGTTGTGTGGGTTAGGCTGTAAACCCAGCGTAGAGCACTGCGAGCTCGCTTTTTCGATAGGAGCAAAGGTCGCCTTGGACGTGAGTAGAACAGCTGAAAAAACCGGGAAAAACCTAGTTTTTGGGGGTTGTTCGTCCGCCCTTTAACTTTAAGAGAAAACCGAGCTCGCAGTCACCTCAATTGGACTTGTGTCCAGGTCTGTGTAACGTATGAAGAGCCACGCTTTGGCCTGGGCGCAGGTCTAACTGCACAAAGAAACTGAGTAATGTACTGTTTAATCAGTATAATAGGCGGGCATTCAAAAGAACCGAAAAAGAACCCAATCCGTGTGCCCCCCCCCAAAATCGCCGAATAGACCGGCCGTTTTTTTGCCTCCAAAATGTGCCCGATTGACACCCCTAACTGTGTGTGCTTGTGCCAACGTTCATCGACCACCCAACCCGCTGACCAATGAAAGACGGTGCCGCTAAACGTGGGAGATCCTTCTCAAGGCCATGATCTGTCCGGGGGCCCGCGAGGGTGTGCGTGTGTCCACGGCCCACAGTTCCAGGAAAACAGGCCGAACAACTCGCCAACCCGTGCGACGAACATGAGCTGCCGCCAGGCCTCCATCGACGGCAGGCTCAAGCTGCCAACAGGCTGGTGCTACACAGTCATATCGTTTGCATTCCATCTTGCTTCCCGACACTCAAAGCCGGCATGCCCGCAGCGTGCACGCAGTGCCAACGCCGCAATATCATCGCCGCATAAGATCGACAAGTCAAGAACAAAAGCCAGAAAGAAACACAACGCTGAAACTCGCGTCCCGAACTGAACTGACCTCAGGGGTCATGGGGCTTAGGTTGACCGCGCGGATGTAGTTGTCCAGCGCATCGCGTCCCTGGCCCAGGAGGGTGTTCGCGTCGCCACGACTGATGTACACGCGGGGATCCTGCAGTATTGGGGGCGTTTCGTGACAATAGCCGTTCGGCACCGCAAGAAGAGGAATCGGAATGATGGAGAGCGAGAGGCCGGATGAAAGGGCCGAAAGACCGGACAGAGCCAAGAGTCTAGGGTTCTGGTGTGGACCTGTGCAGCCGGTCAAGGTAGTCATTCGACACCCCGGTGCGTGAGAGAGGCACGGGCTCCAATCTAATCAAGGCAAGTATCGGATATGATGATCTTCCTGGCACAACCGACTGTACTGCCGTACGCGGTGAGAGAGGACGAGCGAGAGAGAGAGGGGCGGGGGAAGGGGGCGATATGGCTGTCCAAGTCCGATCTAAAACGATTGTTGTCAAACAAAAACGCGTACGGAGATATTGCCAGTGCCGTGAATAAACGAATAAACGAGCCATGGATGCACACGACAGGGGGAGGAGAACACGACGAAAACACGTTGCTCAACAACACACCACCACAGACTGTAAATGTCCACACGCACGGCTGGCTGACTGGCTGGCCGTACCTGTGGGTCCAATACGACGGCGTGGTCGTAGTCAGCAAGAGCGCTCTCGTAGAACGTGCGCGCCACCTCCACGTTACGGTCTGCCCGTGCCAGCACCTTGCGGTCGGCCATGTCCTGTGGTTTCGTGGGCAAAGCACCCAAGGGAAAGAACACACAAGGAGAAAGGAGAAATGATAGCGTCTGAGAGAAGAAAGACGCGTCCTTAACGCTGGAGGTATGGGGTCCAGGCGGAGGCTGCTACCGTAGCCGAATCAAGGTCCCGAGAGCGGTGAGTGCACAAGTCCGACGTCGTTTCCATCGATCGTCCCGTCAACGATGTCGCTCTTCTTTTCGTAACTGGCGACGCAAACCTCTCCTAAACGCGAGAACGTGATCCGTGCTTAGACACGAAAGGGACGCATCTCTCCCTGGCCAAGACAAATCTCTGTCACGCGCGGCACAGCCAAAATACCCGCTACCACAAGTAAAAACCGGCCGTGTGTGCCGACCCCGTTCCTCCCTATCCTCTTCTCTCCCACTAGGACTCTCCTCCGGAAAAAAACGCATCCTCACCTCGAACGCCACCCCGCGAGCCAGCCAGAACTCCCCCTTCTCCGGGACGAGGTCGATGGACTCACTGTAGTCCAGGATGGCCTCCCTCGTCTTCTGCAGCGACAGCCTCGTGTTGCCGCGGTTGCTGTACGCCCTGGCCAGCAGCACCTTGTTCCCGGGGTTGGTCGCCCGGAAATTTGGGCTGTTGAAGTTCTCGATGATCTCGGTCCACTGCCTCTCCGCGCCAACGAAGTCATCGTCGTCTTCGAGTTCCATCCCCCGCTTGAACAGCTCGTACTGCATCTCGAACGGGCTCCTGTTAGGCAGCACATCCGAAGACGCCTTGAGGACGTCCTTGGACTGCGCCCCTCCCCCCGGCGTGAGCTCCATGCCTTCCATGCCCTCTAGAGCTTCCATCAACGCCTGGCGGGGGGGGGGGATGCACCAACGAAGTATACCGGGGTCGTCTCAATAGAAAAAAACACAGCAGGCAGTCTGGGCCGCCTAAAAGCTTGACGCCGCGACTGGCTGTCCCTCTGGCGCCAACAAACCGAGTTTCACCGAGAGACAAAAGAGGCATGTATCGCTTGCTCAGGGACCCGGCGAAAACATCGCGGCCCCAAAAGGTTGTAGATTTATTACCTGGGTGATCTTCTGCTTGGTTTCTTCGTCCAGTTCGTCCGAATCCGTCTCCGCCACGGCTGGAGACGCTGACGCTACCGCTACCGAGCCGACGAGCAACGCAAGTCCGTTCTGCTCAATTGTCGACGGCGTGGAGCGTTGGGTGGATGATTCGGGGGGAGTGGGGCGGGGTCGAAACTATGGCCGCTGCGCGCGGCATGTGACGTTAAAAAAAGGTGGGGGGGTGCAGTCGCGAACCGTTGCTAGTGCCACGAGCCGTTGTGCTTGATCGGTAGGGGTGGTGGGTATTTGGCGGACGGGGGATTTCGCAGAGCAAGCTCACCACAAAGCATTGACCACTGTGATCGTTCAAGGGGCAACTTGGGGTCCATCACCGGGGTATCAAGTGTGACCAAGTCATGGCGCAAGTGGTGAAGTAGTGGGGTGTGCGAACTGACGAGCATGGTTGGGCTACTGCTGTTGTCGAGAGATGTCGCTGCGCATGGTAAATAATTAATAATTAGGCTGTGTGGGCGATGTGGTGATTCGGGCCTGTGTTGGACCACCACACAAAGCGTGAGGGGATTGAGCACACGGTGTATGAAACCAGGTGCCTCGTGTCAAACGATAGTATCCTCGCTTACTGCCGAAGTCAAGTTCTCGCAGAGCGGCAAATTTAAAACTTGACACACAAGAGCCTCCTGCGGCGGAGCACATCGGGAGCACTCATGCTTCAATAGACTAATCGCGAGTCCCAGGCTGTGCTAGGCGACTTTAAAATCGCGTAGGCACCCTTTCATGACGCTTGCTGGCCGCCAACTCTGGGTCTGCAACCTTGCAGCAGTGCTGACCTTGAGGAACCCTGCCCGATTACACGGTGTTTCCTCTCCCCTCATGCTGACGCCAATCGAACTTCGTCGCCCTCCGAGCTGCTGTTGTCGTTGCCGGAGAGATGTCGTCTTCCTCGTAGCTGCACCAAGGAAACCACGGGCGTCAAGCGACACAAGCGGTTGGAAACCGTCACTTATTATGCCGCAGGTGACGCAAGATACCACAACCCCCTGCAGCGATTTTCAAAGCTCGATTACTTCACGGCGGAGAGGATGCATCAAGACATGATACGTTTTCGGAAAGCTCTCGGCGAGACAGCTTCAACGCCGCCGTTTTCGGCGCTGTCAGGCTATTATGCTACGGATAAATAGAGCTTTGAAAACCGGTTCGGGGGGCGTGGCATCTTGTGTCACCTACGGTAGTCGAATACTGCTGAATACACTTGATTTCAGTATTGACAGCACGACCATCAAGTTCCCAACCACCAGGGTTCGCAGGGCGGGTGGCGAAGGGGAGGATTCATAAGGATCCTTTGTGAGAACCCCAAAACAACTATTAGAATAAAATTCTACAAGAAATGCACGTTCGGCGGTATCGGCCGCAACACGAAGAGATCATGCCTTGTACAAAGAACAAACGGCAGTCAAACGGCTCCAGTGTGACCCGCAAATGCCGGGGGAGAGCCCTCAATACAAACACCGTTAGACGAACCTCCTAGTGTATACCATAGCTTGACGGCCAACAAATTCGCCCCCTTTTTCGAAGAACTAGTGTAAGCAAGGATCTTTTTGTAGTGTTTGGGATCTTGAACGTTGAAGGGGCTGGTGTGTGTGGCGACGGGGTCGAGTGGCCTACGCAACAAACGGCACGCGCCCTCTCAGCAGCCTATTTAGTGGGACGGTGGGCGCCAAAATATTTGCTGAACGATACAAGTACTACTGGAGTATGCGGCAACAGCGCACATAGATCGCCCCAACCTCCGGGTGCAGATTGCAAATAGACCCCAGACGAGAACATACTGCAGTGGGTCAACCCAAACTCCGCAGGAGACTATAAAAGAGAGAGACATCGTTGTTGCAGCAGTAGATCCTCTACACGTGAATACCAAAATACCATTGCGGGCGTGTGCCGAAATAATCCATCTGTCTTGCCTACACTTTGCTGGAAATGATCAAACGGCGGGGTTCTAGAACGTTCTGCTGCGCAGTTCAGCAAAAGGACGGGTGCCCTAAAAGCCCTGACGCTGAAATCATTGGCGACAGCGATCACCGACATCACCGACAACTCGATTGAATCCCTGTAAACGGGGGGAGAGCCAACACAAGGCATCCGTGGACTCTTGAGTAGAAAGCGAGAACACGCGCGTGTGTCGGCAAAGTACGAAAAATTTCCCCACACGACACACCGCGTCCGTGCTGTGTAACTTCAGGATCGACGCCCCGGCTGCTGCAGTTCAAAGCAATTCTGCACCCTCCCACTCCCCTGTCCATCGAATCCAGCGCCAAGAGGACTGTAGCAGCAGAAGCACAGCACAGGCGTAACACTATCTGCCACCGGCGGGGCTTTCGCAACGTATTGTACTAATACACTCTTGCTGCTGCTGTTGTAGACCGCCTCACATAGAACTCGAATTCAAAATCACTGCTGTCATTGTCCGCCCTCCTGGTTCTTTCGTCTGTGGCCAGCGAACGACCAAAGGGCGGGAGACAGCATGCGACACAGCCCCCCAACACACCTGTTCTTGGTTGCAGCAGCAGGTCTGCTACCGGCGGCAGCAGGCCAAATCCTTCAGCACAGCCCAGCCACCCCACGGCGAAGATGATCACCAACATCACCAACAGCAACGAGGATGGTGAGAATCGACGAGTGCTTCCCCGGCGTGCCGCCATCCCCCGGGTTGTAGAAATCGCCCCCTGTTTGAAAGATGCAAGATCTATCTCGTGTTGTGTGTCCCGGCAAGGGGCTGCGGTAGAGGGGCTGGGGGGCAAAGGGAACGGGAGGCACAACGTGCGTGTGTGGAGATTACGATCTCGACGACTCCTCTTCGACGTCCTCCTGTCCGACGTCATCGAAAACAGATCGAAAAGATGGGAGATCTCCGAAATCTCCGAAGTCAGCAAGGTTCTGGTTCTCTACACCAATATGGGATGTGTGGATCGCTCGATGCGAATGCTTGTTGGGCAAGCAGACACCCGTGCACTCTTGTCTCCCCTGCTGGGCGTCGTGTTTGGGCTGCTGGAGATTGGAGAGGCTGTGATTTAGGTGAATGGATTCTTGGGATGGTACAGTCGGGGAATATGTTCATGGTGAACTTATCATCGTTCGCCATGCCGCCGATTCTTTCACTTGCCTTTTGTATGCCAAAAATCACCACCCAATAAAAAGCGGCAGCCCGCACGAACGAGTAGTCCACACACGCACACTCTCAATGTACAATGTCTGTGTACCACGAGAGAGCGCGTATTATCTTGCGAAATGTTTTTGTCACCCTGAGGTTAAAAATGCTTCCCCGTACGTGTTGTTCCCCCCAATACGAATGTTTCGTTTGTCAACGCGCAGAAACTACGGCGGTATGTCGTACCATATGCTTATGTCGTACAAACCACGCCAATGTACGTCCGCCGAAGCAGGTTGCAGACCCCCCCCACCCCCCAACTACGAAACCATACATATGTGTGTCCAACATGCACATCTGGTGTTGGGAACAATTTGTGTAAGTAATTTTCGCACGCGAACGCCGGGTACCCAGCTTGTATGCCGTGCTTGTAGGGACAACATGCCCGCGTGGACAATAGCCGTACCGTTTTCGCCACTGCTGTGCTGCTGTTTGTCTCTCCGTCCTGCTGTTAGTTACACAAGCAGAGGTTTGGAGGTTCGTATGCATAGTGAGTGGTACCAATTGCCTCACCCTGGTACATGGTAGCCAATCAAACCAGAGTGTCGCGTGTTCGTGCGTGAACCACGGTGTGCGGTGTTGCGTACCGAGCGCGGAGGAGGTTGCGTCATGATGGTCCACCCCCCCTTGCTTTCGGTTGTGTAGGGTAGGCGACAAGCCACGGCTCGTTCTGGTTGTGACTTTCGTGGCCCAAATTATGAAGAACCAAGTTTACGTGCTGTTTGGTTTCTAACTTTTCTAGTCTCGGAAGATACCTACGGTAGGACCTACAGCTGTAGACTTCGTCCACCCTTTCGCGGCGGATCCTTCCCAATCATGCCGCGATACCGACGGTGTTCACCCCGGCACCCAAACACTGCTGTTTTCTGTTTTATCATTATTATTGCCGCCGGACAGGGGGTGATTGCATCCTGCTGTCTCGCGATCAGGCTCGCGTAGAGCACGACAGCAGGTGCAAACCGACGACAGGGACCCGCGACCAATTGGAGGCGGACAGCAAGCAGTGCACCGTTTCCCCTCCCCGTCGGCTCCTAGCAAAGCCCCGGCTGGCATGACGAATGAGGGCGTGGGCAGCACCCAGCTTTCATCCTTCACAAACCCCGAGGTAAACGTTGGTACATTATTGGTATGAAGTTCAACGCTTGGGTATACTCAACAATCAGCGTGGGGTCGCCTGTCACAGCAGCACTTCGGGGCCAAGTGGCTGAAGCGTCGCGGCCGCTTTTTCTTTGTACTGCTGTACAATAAGCCAACGAAACGAAAGGCTTCGTAGGAGTTCCGCGACAAGATTGCCCTCGGCGGTCACATGGCGAGAACGTTGTATGGGGTGGGTTTGCCTTTGCTGGCTGCCGAGGATGGCAGAAGGGTGGGATACCGATTGAGGGGCTGCGCCGCGTTTTTTTTCTGCGTCGCAGCTGTTTTCGTCAGAGGGCAGCCGAATCACTTTAGCAGAGGCTGTATATTCTTGTCGGTATTGTATGCAGAGCATTTGGCACCCATGTCTTCGTTTGTGGTATCGCGTATGTTGTTTCCTAGGTACGTATATATTTGCTTGTGTCTCTTTTTGGGCCTTTGAGGGTTTGTTTACCTTTGTCGGCGTGAGTACGTGGTGTGTCTAGAAAGGTTTGACAAGGTCTTTCCAATGCTCGATCTAGCCCATCAAACCCAACCCACACCTCTGCCTGACCTATGATCTAGACGTAGACCTTCGGCCGCTTAAGTCGGGGCAGCGTCGTGACCCCTCTCATCTGCCGCCGTCCGATCGTACTCGTGCTACCTTTATCCTCTGCCAATGTTTTGTTGTCCCAGGTGAGGCAGCAGTCCAGTTCCTTGGCCTTGTTGGGACCCCCTCCTCCCGAGTTTCACCCAGAACAGCAGCAGCAGCAGCAGCAGCAGCAGCAACAGCAGCACTTCCAGTATCCTGGTAGTTTGGGGCAACAACAGCAGCATCAGCACCAGCACCAGCGCCAGCTCCCCGAGAGCCAAGCTCTCCCCTCCCTCCGTTCCTCCATCAACTTCTCCGGCACCAGAAGCCGCGACCACCACCACCAGCGACACCACCACCAGCACATCGGCCCCAACAACCCGGCAGCAACACAGCAGCAACCGCAACGTTCTCCGGGACGAACAGGCGGGATACCGGTGCCCGCGGTTGGAGCACTCCCGCAACGACAGTCTCCGCAGTTGCGCCCCCTTTCTTTCCCACAAAGCGGCGGCAGCGGAAGCAGCAGCGGAAGCCCGGGAGCGTTGTCCCCGAGCGGCTTGGGAGGTGCAGCGGGGTTCTACAGCAGGGGCGGCGAGAGGGGTACCGGGACCCACCAACGGCTCGCGCGCGCCCTTCCGTCGCCGTTCTCTGGGGGGGGTTCGAGGGGTGTCGATGGCCTAGATATCGGACCTTCGTCTACCCAGCAGCAGCAGCAGTTTTCTGTCGCCGCCCTTCCCAACGCCACTTGGCCTCCTTCTCTGCTTCCGGGATATGGCACGATATCGATGCCGCCTTCGCAGGCGCAGGATTCGGCGCCGCCGCTCCGGCAGCCGCAATCCCCGGCGGCGGCGGGGGCGGGTGGGGGATGGGGGGTGGCCTCCCCGCCCGCCGGCATGGCGGCACGCCGAGGAGGAGGATCCGAGGGCGACCGCGCAGCGTGTCCCAGCAGCGGGATGGGAGGAACGTCGACGCGACCAGCGAGTCCCGGGAGCTGGGTTGCTCCGCAGGCGCAAAGGAGCGGCAGCGGCGGTGGCGGTGGCGGTGTTGCTGGCGACAGCTCTGCGATGGGCGGAACCGGTTCGGGTCAGAAAAAACCGCGCATCGTGCAGCAGCAACAGCAACAGCAGCAGCAACAGCAACAGCAGCTGCAGCAGCAGCAGGCACCCTTTGCTCGCGTAGCAGGCCGCAGTGGCGAAAGCTATGGCGGGGGGGGAGTACCGCAGCCTCTGCTGCCTCAGGTTGCGCACCATTCCCCCCGCGCTCAGCAGCAGCAGCAGCAGCAGCAGTGGGGTATGGGTGCAACGACGAACGTGCTTGCGCGGTCCGTTACGGCGGGGGGGCCGTGGCCGGTTAACCGCTCCCATGGGGGTGGCGGCGGCGGCGGAGGCGGCACCGCTCGGACGGGTCCTCAACAAACGCCAACATACGGTTGGTCATCCCAGGATTCAAGCTCCAGGCTGCCACAGCAGTCACCGGGCGTGGGGGCCATGATGGCGCGTGCGATCGGCGGCGGTGCGCAAAGGCAACAAAAGGCCGGCATGAACCTCGTGGGAGGGGGAGCGGCGGTCGGCCCCGCGACGTTGAGGGGCGGCGGGGTTTTCACTGGCGCCGGCGCCGCTTCCAGCAGCAGCGGACCGGTGTCTCTCCTGAGTGCGCCGGTTGGCGACTTCGTAAAACAGCCTCATCGTGTAGGGAAAAGACCGCAGCAGCAGCAGCAGCGGGGGCGGGGGTTGGTGTTGGCTCCTCGGCAAGAGCTTGCGGGGCAGCAGGGGCCTCCGTCTGTGGCTGCGGCGGCTGCGGTGGCCGCCATCAACGCGGCGGCTATGGGAGACGCTGGCTCGCGTGAATGGAGCGCACTCCGCACCACGATGTGAGGAGGGCAGGAAAATCGCAGCGCTTAGCAGAGCGGGTTGTTTGAGTGAAATGTGCATGAGAGGGAGCCTGTGACAAAAACTCCGCTGATTTCTGGCAGGGAGACCTGCTTCCTGTATTGTGGCAGCACCCCCCGATGCTTTACTGGTGATGTCAATGCTGCAAGTGGGCTTGTGTATTTTCAAGCCTGTGCCAAACACTGGTCTCGTGTCCAGGAGGGGGTCGGGAAACGTGTGGACCAATAACAACCGTGGTGTCGTTGTTCCTCACCTGTGATACGTCTCCCCAAGACCCGATCGTTATTTCACCCTACAGCCTTTGCAATTTCTCTCTCTCCATGGAAGTCCTTGCCTTCTTTTTATTGCTATCTCCTCATGGTACCCCTTTCCCTGTCCTCGCCCGCGTTTCTCCCCTTAAGCCCCTTCTACCAAGGGATGTTGAAAATCCCACAACAAGGGCAACAACCGAAAATGCTGCCGCAGCAGCAACACCAGCAGCAGCAGCAGCAGCAGCAGCAGCAGCCGCAGCAGCCGCAGCAGCACGTTGCGACCCCTGCTTCCCCCCCCCTGCCGGTGACCGTGTCACCCCTCTCTTCTCCTCGGTTCACACCGATCGCCCCAATGATCCCCAAGCAACAACCGGCCGCCATGCCCCCGCCGACTCCGCCGCCGCCGCCGCCAACATCGGCCGTTCCCAAAGGAGTCGGTACCGGCGGTAAGGGGGAAGGAGGGAAGGCCGGGGGGACGGCTACGGGGGGTAACGGCGGTGGGGGGGGTGGTGGTAGGGGCCCGGGACGAAGGGGCGTGCCGACAAAGTTCCTGTCGATTTTGTACGACATGCTCGTGGAGGGGAACCCACAGGTTTGGTGGGAGCGGGAGACCGGGAGCGTGGTTATCGAAGACCCTCAGCTGTTTGAGGCAGAGGTGAGGAGCTTCAAGAATGATGCAGCTTGGGAACAGAACGGAGCAGGCGCACCTTGTTCTAGCGCGGACAGTGGTGGTTCGAGCGGAACCTTGTCATCTTGGTCTGGTTTGGGCGGTAACGATAGCAGGCCATGTTGGTGGACCACCCGGGGGGGGGGTGTTGGTGGAGGAAGCAGTGGAATATTCGTAGTTGTCCAAATTGTTGGATTCGATCCCGATAGTCGCTGCTACTCTTGCTTGCGTGTGGAGTGGAGGTTGTAGCAGACGCTCTCAACTCTCACCCATTTGAATGCCCTGGTTGCTGTGTGTGGGAGTTGGTGTTGCCCAACTATGCTGTCACACCGAGAAAAAATGGGCAGTTTTATCCCCGGGCATCCCCATGCCGGAGTCCTGAGGAGGCCGTTCACGGAAAATCGGTGTGACATCTCCTTTGCTTGTTTGCCGTCCTCGCCCTTTTTTCCCCTTCTTTTTTTTCCTTCCTCGCTGTGATCAGACGATGCCGCGTTTTTTCACGGACCCCAAGGTTTCGGGGTTTCTCCGTCAGCTGGCTTTTTACGGTTTCAAGAAGGTGGGTTTGGGGATGAAAGAGAGGGAGGGAGTGAGCGAGAGATTTTGGCACATCTACCCACTTGTTTTGCTGCTTTGCCTTCATGGTGTGGCCTTGGCCATGTATCCATTTCGAGACGAAAACCACTTGTACTCCTCGAAGGACCGCTGCCAACACTCGATCGCTGCTAGCGCCCTTTGCTGCTCTCCTGCCATGTCCCGCATGACTTTGCGGGGGGGTTCAGGCGAGACGCGACAGGCGTTACCGCGGCAAATGGTGCCCGGTCCTGTTAGAATATCCTTCGCGGCTCCCCCCTCTCTTGCTCAATGGGGCGCACAATATAGTCCATCGGTCTTACAATACACCCGCCTGTGTTTTCGTCTCATCCCTTCTCGGCAACATGACTCGCCGACAATGTCGACGACGACGACGACGACCCCCCCCCCCCCCCCCCAAAAAAAAAAAAAAGCCGGGGAAGAACGGGAAAAAACACGGGCGGGAACAAAACCCCGAATGGCCGGGGAAAGACTTGTCCTGGGTCAAATCCCCCCTGAAAAAAAAAGGGTAAAAACTGGCAAAGGCCCAAAAAGGCATTTCCAAAACCTCCGGGGGTGCCGGGGCCGAAGGGTCCCCTTGGGGCGAACGGGGGAAGAAGGGAACCGTCCGTGCCCTGGGGCAAAGGGAAGAAGGGGAACCCCCCGAAGTGGAAAAAAACGAATTTGAAGTAACGGCCGAAGCCA